TCACTACGGTTACATAACTCAGTTGGTCCGATGGATCCAGTTACATACTACAGCACTATGTTCATGATGTCAGGTCTATTATACTCTTGCTGCTATCAACAATCAGTTAGTTCATGACTACAGCTAAAGTGTACACAATTCCACAGCAACAATTCAAAGACAAGGAACATCCGCTAGCCTAAAGCAACCCTCACCGCCCTCAGCAGCGTCATCGCCGTCATCCATGACTTGAATAAGAGAGTGGCCCATCACGGGCTTCTCATTCCGTTTGCTCTTCACTAGAAGGGTGGTCAACATGTCCAGGCCATCAAAGTGTTCACCCTTTGTGACTTTGGACAGCTGGACTAGCACTTCACCTGCAGAAAGTACAACATCAACAGGAAATGGACAAAAGAAAATACATGTACTTACATGTACATTCCAGCAAAGATGAGATATAGTTATACTGCACAGACAACTAATAGCAAATCCCATAGAACAATTGTTTTCATTCAATTCATCAGAATACCAAGTAGTAAGAAGCATCAAAGCAATTTGTGTGTGAAAAGATTAGACAAACCTTGACTGACATCGTACTGGGCCTTAGCTGCATCATCTTCCATTACTTCACCAGGAAGAACAAGCCTACATGCACAAGTTTAAAACAGAAGCAAGTTAGCAGGAGAAATGGGCAAAAGCCTACAACTTATGTAGAGCAAATGAGCAACACAGAAACAAGCACTCAGCAGCTAACGCTCTGTTTACTCTAGAATTGTTTAATCTTCAGACGATTGGACATGACTGATGCATGCGGCGACAACATGACTTGCAATTTCAAAGCGCAGAGCAAGCCTCACCTCAAGAAGTATGGCTTGAGAAAGAACTTGAACGTGCAGCCATCCACATTAATATCGACATCAGATATCTTCAGAGACACGCAAAGACAAAGCAGATCAAAAACATTGAGCATCTGCTTGTGTTGACATACACTGGCACTATAGACGACAGCACAGGATAAGCACAGGTATTACCAGTGCTTGATATGGTCAAAGGTGAGTAAGATCGAGCCTACTAGGAAACATTCATAATGCAAGGTGTCTTGGCTGCACTAGTCATGACACCTTGCACTACTACTACTACAGTCGTGAACAATTGAATTGTTACTACAGTGTTGCTCAATGAAATCCAGTCACGTCACTCAAGTACGCGCCGGCGTTGCGCAGCCCTAGACCTGCAAACACTGGGCTGCGAAATGATGCAAGGCGCAAACTTGAGTGACATGACTGGATTTCATTGAGCAGCACTGTATTACAAGACTCATTGCACGCATGAACATGCTATGCAACAGGGCGGTGGCATACTTGTTACTTCGAAGTGCTTCAAGCCCCGCCATTCGGTTTGGGTGGATAAGACTGTCTTTCTCAAATCCTATTTTCGCTCGTGAGACATCTCACGATGCTGCTTGCACTAACGCTTCCAAAAAGCATTATATTTATATTTCTGATGAGTTAGCTTTCACGGCAGAGGCGAGGAGCAAGGATTGCAGGCACGACTTCCTTTGGAGATACAGGTGTGCTCTTCCAAAAGGTCTCCTACGGTGGTGTTTGGGCCACGTCTGTTCATTTGTGACACTTGGGGGCCAAGCAGTCGCTTACAGACTGTTCTGTTATGCACGCATGTAGAGTACATGGCTGGATAACAGGAGCATCACAGGGCAGTGTGGAGTGGTATGACCGGGGGTCAGGTTGGCACAGGGAGGAAAAAAAACATCGGATTTTTCGGCCAACAGGGCACGTTTTAGCGCTCTACAGGCACTCTGGGCGGACCATCCTGGACGAAAAGTGGTACGATCATGGCTGTAGCGTGTGTGAGGCCCCTGGATAATGTGGTGTTGTGCTCTGGTATGGGTTTGTGTTCATTACTATTGTTATTTGAATGCAGAACGAAAAGCAGGCCTTCAGCTCGCAATATCTCCTGATGCCCCTAGGGCGGTACGGCTATGAGAATATAGAAACAATGTACATGTGTCTGCCTGGTTTCTGGGAAAACCGGGCCTTCACCAAGACAGCACATGGCATTGCACTACTAACACTATTTGAAGCATTTTTTATCAGACTCTACACGTGCATACACTGGCAGCTCACATACAGTGCTATGTGCTACTGAAATCTTTCTCGCCATTGAAATAATCTTCATGAGGCAAAGGAGCTACTAGCCAAGCCCAGGCTGTATATCGTGAGCTGTACATGCACATACATCTCAGTAGTTCTACTGTGGCAAGATGAACACACCCCATGTTTTGCGCAAACTGGAGGTAACTATCTCTTGCACTATTTTTTAATCATTATAAACAACTCTCCTGTTCTTTTCCCAGTGCATTCTCCCTCATCATTTTTCCAAATACATGTACATGTACAACATGTATTAAAAAAATCTGAAGGGAAAGAAACGAATAGTGGTGCAACAGGGGTACTCTATAAAGCAATACAATTACCCTGCCACAATCATAGATATACTAGTGCACTAGTAAACTTCGTGAGTAAACAGCAGTTTCCCGTTATAAATAAGGAATTACCCCCCACAGATATTTCAAACAGTCAATAGAAAACTCAACAAAAAATGCATACCTTGATATGGGGCACACGAATTCGGATGTACACGAAATTGTCATCTTGAGACGTACTAAATGATGGTGTTATCATGATGAATATCAATCGAACTAGAACTAAGTGAACAGTATTCAATGGTCGGCTAGAAGATAATGGAAGCACAAACTGCTCAATCTGCGAACAACTATAAAAGTTCGGGAAAACTGTCGATTGGTGTGTGTGTGATAATTTTTGTTTCTGTCGACTGTCCACGTCCACGTGGTAGGGGCCGCCCGAGTGACGTCATGACTGAGAAGTGAATTCATGAAGCACGTGCGTGTTCGTGGTCGGGCACCCGGGCCGCGACGGGACGAGCGAACAGGCGAGGCCGAGGCCAGATCAAGGTCAAGGAGCCTTTTTTTGTAGTACACATGTGTAGGGCTCCCTGGACAAGACCATGAAGACCAGGCGGGGATACAAGATATGGATGTCGGCACTGGCATGGAGCTAGACTGCCGCCGAAATCACTAAGCAGTGCAAATGGTATGATGAGACAACTCATGATGAGTTAATTTTATACCACACCGAGTTAGTGCAAATGAACACGGCCCCTACCCAGCCCTCATGCCAATGAACCATAACGCACTAACCATCAGATCCCCGAGAGTGTGGCTCTCCCCCGAGAGTGTGGCTCTCCCCCGTCTCAGCATCTTTCTCAATCGGCATGTTGGCCCGGTCTTCCGATTCACACTCGGAATTTAGCCAGCTATAACTCAAGGGTCAAACCGGATCCAGGCCGGCCAGACTTCACGGCTTGTCAGTCCCGGCAGCAGGTGACACGTGTACACACTACTGGAATATCAAGTACAACATTCTGCTCGGCTTCAGTTTCAGTGATGGATGAGCAGCCGGTCCAAATAATCCGATTCAAGTCCACACACTAAAAACTAATAACTTAGCAACGAACAGAGATGCAATCACTATTATAATAACTGCACAGAGATGAGAGAAGCACAAACGGCTTGATAAGCTAACTAAACCGAGAATGAAAAACAATAGTTATATCGCACAATGACTAGAATCGTGTTATTGTGCAATACCGTCAGAGAAACTCATGGAAATACTTCGAAGTACAATAGCAAAAAAAGATGCGGCGGCACTTTACCTCCAGTGCATGTAAACTGCACCATACACAGAGCACAAACCTATGGCCACCATTAGCCAAGGATGCGCTGAATATATACATACACGCCTCCGTTGTTTTGTGTATACATAATAATTATACATATACATGTATATGCCACTGCACCTGGCCGTGCCATTGCAGCATGCACTCAATGCAGCCTTGTCATCGTAGGGCTTGCTTCTGTAGCAAGTTTAATGTCCGGAAAAGTCACATACGGTCACAATGTGATAAGAACTAGATTGGTAACATTAAACAAATGATCCATTTCCTGGTGAATTGGTCTCGAGAAATATATCGCTGTTCTGTAATCATCTGTTGACATTTCTGGACTACACATTTTCTATATGACTACAAAATATGGTGGACTCCTGTTCCTTGCAGGGACGATGCGTACCACTGCAGTACGTATATTATAATGACATGTACCAAGTATGAGCATCATGATTTAGCAGAAGTGTTGACAAGACATGGACAATGAAGCCCGGTGTTGGTGATGATCAGGGTTTTTGTCGGCGCTTGTGAATAGACTTGCTTGTGCTGCTGGACTGTCTCTGCTGCGCCGCACTGGCAGACGCCGACACCGACTCTGAGCTCTTGCGGTTCTTTAGGCGATTGAAAATTGAGCCACCGGAGGCTTTCTTTGCCTTCTGTGACTGTCGACTTGATGTGCTTTGAGATCTGGCACAAAAAGAAGAAGAAGAAGAACAAGAAAAAAAACCATGCAGGCATTGACTAAATCCTATAATTCTCAGATGGGTCGTTTCATGTCAGGAGATTCTTCGAGACTTCTAGCACGTTCAATAATATTGTCCTTCATACATGTAGATACTTCATGGTACACGATTGTATGACTCTGATGTACATTCATTCAACTGCATACAGCACAGTTGTCGGTAAGGTTTTCTGGTTTTCGGCAGCTTTCTTGATTCCATTGGTTCTCTTTGTTTCACAAACCACTCCACATACTTCAATTTGTTACAAGCAAAGTTTGGGGTCCAGGCAAGTATATGTAAGGACTTTGTGGTATGGACCACTGCAGATGAATGAAGTCCTTCAGGAAATTCAGATGCCTCAGTTGTGCGCAGTGTGTATCCAGGCTGCACTGTGAGAGCTCTTTCAAATGATGGGGTTGGGGGATGGGGTGGGGCTCACACCAGAAGTTCCAAAAAGTACCCTTGAAGTTTGTATGGCGCCTCACGCATGCAGCTTCACGCGTTTGATTCTTGGTCTGCACCATACTACGTGCACTCGTCCATAGCGGCACTCAGGCACGATCACTTACCTAGCAGTATGTGCACTTGACATTGCCGCATGGTCAGGAGCATCGCCTTGGTGACTGATGGTCGCCCAGCTCTCACTATCATCTTGCACAGCGCTGGCACTGCTCCTCTGGATCGGCACGTCCATGGGTGATGGATTCCGAAGAGCCCTGCTGGCGTGAGCTGGGCCATGATGAGGTTGCAGCTGGGTTGTCTCGGCTGCCGATTGAACTCCATGCAGCCTACCATCACTAGTTAGGATCAACAGGTCACTGGGTAGGAGACAGTGTGAAAAGAGAGGCATTCACATGAACACAATACAATTCCGCATACTATACCAGAACGATTTTAACTTTCTCTGCCTGGTACTGGAGAGAGAGAGAGAGAGAGAGAGAGAGAGAGAGAGAGAGAGAGAGAGAGAGAGAGAGAGAGAGAGAGAGAGAGAGGGAGAGAGAGAGAGAGAGAGAGAGAGAGAGAGAGAGGGATAGAGAAAGAGAGAGAAACTCTAAGAGAGAGAGAGAGAGAGAGAGAGAGAGAGAGAGAGAGAGAGAGAGAGAGAGAGAGAGAGAGAGAGAGAGAGAGAGCCTGAGAGAGAGAGAGAGAGAGCCTGAGAGAGAGAGAGAGAGAGAGAGAGAGAGACGTCAGGCGAAATTACTGGTCAGTCGGCGACACGCATTTTTCACAAAAATTTGCGTTTCACCTGCTGGGAGAGTATGCGTGTACTCGAGTCCCATCCTTAGCACGTTTTTTTCTTCTTTTTTTCAGCTCCAGTATAGCTGTATTTTTCATTGCAAAGCCGTCCTCGATTGTTGTGTTCGTTGTTCAAACGAAGTGGACATTCAATCATGAAGGCAGAGGACATAGGAGCCTGATTGGAGTTTCTCGTGGCATAGGACGGCCACACAGAGACACTTTGGGATTTTCTGAATATAAAATACCGTACGCACGATGCTGAGATCAATTTGTGCGATATCAAATTGTTTGTGATCTACCACATCGAGCAGAACGGGATCCAAACACAAACTTACCGACGGTTAGGCTGCCGACCTGACTGGACAAATGATCCCTGGCTTCACCAGATGCCAGAAGTCGGACACCATGTCCTTTGCCGCGACGTCCATCTCCAAAAAGAACTCCATCTTCGTCGTGAAAAGGCTTGAAATACTCAATATTCAACCGAGATTCGCGGTCTCACCCTTTCTCAGATCGAATCATTTTTTGTTGTAGCAGTTGCAGGGCAGATCCCCGCCACTACTTCAACAGGCGATGGCTCCAAAGCATGCCTGGAACAAGCCATATCGAGGTTGCAAGCCACCCCTCTCAGCAAAAAATTCGAAGAAATTCGAAATTTCAATGGTGGAAGATATACTATGAAGAGAATTTCAAAAAGTATGTTTCGCGGAGCGATCGCTCAACCTACGTCATTCAAACTTTGCAGGATGGTTCAGACGTACATGCTAGGCATGGAACCACAGGCGATGATGCCATAGCTGACACACAGAGTAACACACACAGCAGATTCGTGTGCACAGATACTAAATTAGTGGACGTCGTCATCTTCTTCCCGCTGATCTCGAATGTACCATGACGTGCTATTTCGCCTGACGGAGAGAGAGAGAGAGAGAGAGAGAGAGAGAGAGAGAGGGGGGGGCACTGGAAAAACAAAGAGAAAGAAGTAAATGCAAGGTGCCTGTAAATAGCAGTCTGTTGAAGTCAATCTGCCTGCTCACCTTGATTCGATGGATGATACAGACCCCATTGATTCTTCTGAAAGCGTCCGATTTGCCATTCCATCAGTCTAAAACCATATACAAAACACGATGACAGGACTGTTAGCAGTTGCTACAGTCATTGGGTATAGCCGCTGGAAAAGAGGTATTTCGAGCAGGATTCTAATCCGGCAAACCCTCGTTTGGAACAGAGCCCTACCCAGCAGGCTAGCGCGGACTTGTCCACACACCCACCCACACATGCACTCTGTCTCACACATGCATGCATGCTAACGCACACGCAAACATGTGCCAGTTCTTGCTAGACTGCTCGCAACAGGCTATGACCTCACGCTGTACCAACTAACAGGGAGACGACTGTGTATGCGGGGGGGGGGGGGGGGGGGGCAAGGACTGAGGAGGGTACGATGAGTCGCCTGCTGAGATTCATCGGGTAGTACTAGTAAACAGTTTCATCATTCAAAGTCTTACCTCCAACCCTTCAGCGACATTCTCGACAACCAACTGATCCTCTGGTGTTGCATCCACAAAGTCAACAAAAGTAGCAGGAACCAAACCTTGATAACCGTTTAGTTCTGCTAGAAGGAACCCACTCTCGTCCTACAGTGAACAGTGAGAAGAAAACATCGTCACTATGAACAGCTTGGCAAGGAGCAGAGCACAATGAGTATTGCGTGATGCATCAATGCGGGTAGTCGTCGACTAACATGTCATGGCTGGTGAAAAGCAGAATCAAACCAACAAACGTACTCAAGACAAACGCCCAATGAGCCTGTTGTGCATTGCCAAATACGGAAGGTATGAGTAACGCATGTGAGTACGCTCGGATGAGGAATGTACTGCCCCCCCCCCCCCCCCACCCCACACACATACACAACTATCCCCAGGTGGTTGTGTGGGGTGGTGGTACGTCAGTGCGCAATGACCATTATAACATTATGCACATACCTACCTGGCATTTTAGTTAAATCTCTGAATGATGCAGAAGCAAAGGGAAGCAGTACCCACCCCCATATCCTGGCCATGAAGTCGATACCCACAGAACAATCTATACGTTACGGCCGCACATACCTCTCCGCCCTTGATCCACATTGTGTCGCCTTCCTGGAAACTCAACTGTCCGCGATGTTGCGTCTCTCGCGGTGACATCAAGCTCGGCTCATACGTGTACAAGGCGATGGCAGCCTTCAAATAAGCAAACAGAGACAAAGCAAAAATGAAGTTAAAAATTGAACCCATACTATTTGTTACTAGATTGTTAGAGAAGGCATGACACCCTGAGCAGAATGACAACACGTCTTATCCACACCACTTGTACTATAGCCCACGTACACAAGAGCCAGTCACATCACTTGTACTAAACTAAAGGCACTTGAGAAGCACACCTGTAGCAAAGCACGCATTTTCATGTTCTTGGTGTTGCAAATATGCTGGTGCACATGAAGAAGAAAGTGACAATGAACAGCATAATGCTTCGTTTCTTTTTGTTTGCAGGTACATGCACATGTAGTCTGCATGATGGCACAATAGCCTGATTGCACGCGAGATTGACAACATTCAACTTGTGACTAATTACTTACCCGAATACCTCGCGGCTGGGGATGGGGCGGCTGGGGATGAGGCACAGTGTGAACCTAAACAGGGGAAATGAGACAGGAATATGAATCCTTTGAGGCAATCACACAGAGAGCACTTCAAGTCTAGAACTTGAGCAAGACTGGCATGGTTACCTTCTAACAGGGCCTGGTCACGGTGTGTGTGTGGGGGGGGGGGGGGGATTTCCTTCTATGTGCACATGTAGTATGATGTGCAGACTGCTAGCAGACATCAGAACTGCATCCTGAGCTGGGTACACCTAGGCAAGTGTGATACAGGTACTACTGTCTCTAATGTGAGCAGGATTGGAGGTGTGTGTGTGTGGTGGGGGTGGGGGGGGGGGGGAGGAGGAGGAGGGGCAGGGCCGCCCGAACCGGTCTGGTTGGTCAGGTTATCACCGAACCAAAATTTTAGCCACCACGTGACACATGTTTACTACTGTGGAGGGTATGTGCACCCGCCATATCAATACCATACACAGACTGGCATGTGTACCCGCCATATCAATACCATACACAGACTGGCATGTGTACCCGCCATATCAATACCATACACAGACTGGCATGTGTACCCGCCATATCAATACCATACACAGACTGGCATGTGTACCCGCCATATCAATACCATACACAGACTGGCATGTGTACCCACCATATCAATACCATACACAGACTGTATGAAAGGCACTGAAACTACCGGACCAATCAAAAACTGCTCCCGGCGGTCCTGAGAGGGATGATATTTATCGAGGAAGGGGATGATCTTCATGACAAGTTGTGACAGATAATTAGTGTACGTCATTATGAACACAGTGCTGATGGTGAACAATGCATTACATATGCCCACAACAGTAACTGAGAAAAATAGTTCACCTGCGGTAAGCTGTTGCTCTGCAGGTTATTGACAATGGAGTCAAACTCCTGCTGTGATGCAACGATATTCGGCAGCCTCTCCACAATATCCCGTCTGACTTTTCCTTGCTGATTGTTTCGCTTAGCAACAAGCCATGGATGCTTAGGATCATTAGATACAACTTGCATCATGTCTCCTTCGTTCAGAGCCAGCATACTGGAGGATTCCCTGGCACTCGGTGCGAACGTCTTCAAGGCGATTGCCTGAACAAGCAAGAAGATAAACGGAGGTTGGTGATCAGTGCTTTAGTAAGGCTCACCTCTTGTCTGTACAGAAAGTAGGCGCACTGCGTGTACAGCATGCGCTGTGTTGCATTCTTTGCAATGGGTCTATACTAAGTTGACTGAAGGGCAAAATTTGGTCTAATATACTTGGTCCGACTTATTAAAATGTGCGTTTCGCTTCGAACGTCAACCAAACAAATTCAAATAATCTCAGGATGGAATAAACTTTACAGCTACCTAACACTATCCTTCAGTTGTCAATTTGTGATGTTGAAGAAGAAATGGCTCCAACTCCAACGGAGGCAGCGGCTCGGGATCCTAGTCGACTCGAGAATTTTGCGTCCAAATGTTGTCGTCAGAGGACTCCTGTTGCTTCTCGCGCAACACAGAGAAGGCCTGGTGCTGAAATCAACACCCCGCTGCGATGGGGAATTGTCACGGAGTACCAGAACCTCCTGGACAATCGTTCTCGAGTGCCTCCTGGCGGATTGAAATCGCTGCAATCGCTGTTTCCTTGGCAGAATTTCAGCAAACGCGTCATCCAGAAACTCGTGCAGAAAGCACCAGCATCGCTCCATCCAGTTTGCTGATCTCTCTCGCAGTCGTTCACGATGTGGCGGCCGACGAATCAAGATCACAGAAGTGATCGTCGAGAAGTTGATCGAAAAAAATAACCGGCCTTGAGGTCGACTTTCAGGCGACAACCTGGCTGGAAAACTGAAGCGCAGAAAGGGTGAATTATCCGGCGGATACGGTGCGGAGTCCTCGGAGCCGCGATGCGTCACAACTATTACTTACACAAGATCGCCAGTCTCCGGGGCCAGTGGATTCGTGAAACAGGCAGGAAAGAGCACGCATGGTCTGACTGCATGACATGTCGACACAGATCAGACTCGACTCATGATCAGTAGACCTACGCGCGCGGTACACGGTGGTCAGAAGTGATTTTTTATGCGTGGTGGTTTACTTGTTCGCCTCATTTGAAGGTGTCGTGAGAGCTTCAGGCGAAAACACCTACAGCCACCATTTTGGTAGTCGTACTGCACGAGGAGGAGGCGAAGTCGATCGTCTAAATCGTGCCTATGGAGTGAAAAAATCAAAGAAGCGCAGTTTAGCTTGGAGGAGATGAAAAAAATGTCGACGTTTTGCAGGTTGACGCACTTGCAGATGCGCCCTGAGACACCAGCAGCGATGAAAACTAGAAGGTCAGGCCAAGAAACGACACAGTAGTTATCTATCTACCGTCTCTTGGTTGATTTTTTAGTACAGGTGCTCCTTTGTACATATGCTTGAGTTTTGAAGTGAAGCGCACATTTTAATAAGTCGGACCAAGTAAGTTTCATGCAGTGCCGCAACGGTCTATATTGAGTTGCTTGCAGTGCAAATGGTCTATGCTAGGTTGCTATCTTTATCAAATCAACCGCAATCTCAGCTTACAAGATATGGTCCGTCCGTGGCAGTGTTGTGTTGAAGCTTCTTTGCCAGGCCAGGCTGCAAGTCATGCAAGGACAAAGCAGAGCCTACTGGGCTGTATGCCGCTGCTCCTTGGAGGTGCTGTCCTGGGCTTGCGCTGGCAGGGCTCATCAGACCGTTGACAACACGCTGTTGCTGCTGCGGTGTTGGAGGTGCATGTCTAGGCGGTGCCGGCATGATGTTTGTGCTACTGCCATGCAGAACATCTCCATCAGGGGTCGGCCGGGTGGTCACGCGAATGCGAGCAAATTGGGAGAAGGCACCGGTACTGGATATAGTGGCCACGGACAATATGTGGGGCCTGGATAGGTCAATGCGCTCCAGAAGTACCTGCGAATGAGCATACAAGGCAGCGCGCACATACACACACATACATACACACACACATACACACACACACACACACACACACACACACACACACACACACACACACACACACATATACACACACACATACACACACACATACACACACGTGTCCATTGTAACTCCCATCATCCAAGACAGCACAGTGGGTTGCATCACTGTGCCATGCACGTTGAGAATAGGAACAGACTGGAAATACCAGCAGCACCGTACAAACTTCCCTTCAATGTCAATGTCTATGTCTATGTCAATGTCTATGTCAATGTCAATGTCTATGTCTATGTCTATGTCTATGCATCATTGCAGCGGGAGTAGACCCACTTTCATTCATGGTCCGGGGCGTTGTCCTTCCTTGCCGGAGTTAAGTTACTATAAGCATTGCCGCTAAACTGGGGTTAGGATGAACTGGACGTGGACAATCAGAATTACATGTACAGATTGAAACTTGTCGGTAAGCCGCGTGTGCTGCACTTTGCAAGTACTGCACTGGTGTTGGGATCTCCCACTGACTTATCCAGGGGGGCTCACCTTTTGCCGTTCCGCTCCAGACAGGTCTTCCGTAATTTCATCGTCCAAGGAGATCTGCACGATAAAATGGCATAACCACACAAGTGATCAATTCATGCCGGTGTCCGTCTGGAAATTTCAACAGGTCGGAGTGAAGCATAAAGTGTACTTGTTACTCTAGTAACAAGTTGCCACAAGAAGGCCACACTACAGCGGCTCAGCAAAGAAGTGCATAGATGTTCTAGAACTTACACGATACCCAATGACTTCTGCACCATTGCTGAAAGCGCCTTGGTCCAGCGGAGGGCATGTCCACGCTACCAAGAGATTGTCTTCTAGTTTCCGATCCACACGCAGGTCTGTTGGTGGGGCTGGAATAGGGGCATCTGAATCAAGAAAGGTAGTGCGGCAGTGGGAGAAAGAAAGAGAAGGAAAACACACGAGGCTTGTGAGAACTGGTAAGTGTTTGCTACATGCATGTAGTGTAGTGCTAGCCGAAGATATTCCTCAGTGTATAGGTGCTCCATTGCATCCGATCCACAGTCCTCTTTTCACTCAATACACATCACAGCCATGGTCTTAGTCACCACAAGCTTGCTTTGTAATACTACTCCCTGATGGAGTCCCAGCCGGGACGAATTCGTATATCGTAACAGTGACAATGAAATAGTGTTGAAATGGTTCTACTGAATGCCTACGAGTACTGTACAAGCAGAAATATTCGTCTGGAATTTAATTTCGTCTTTTTCGTCCAAGGAGCTTTGGGACTAAATTAAATGACGGACGAATGTCGATTTGTCCAGCGTTTCAATACACTGTTATAGTCCATGGACTAAATTTTCAACCGGACGAAATCCCTTTCTTTGGAGTTAGACGAAATTATTGACCGACGAAATTTTCTGCCTGTACAGTACTTGTACGGCTGTTGAGGTGATGCATCGAAGTCTTGAGAGGATTTTGAGTAAGGCAGCGGCAAGAACTGGCACATCCAGGTGTTACTACACTGCGCTGGAAACTCTAGCATTGCACAATGAGCTGCACTCAAGAGGTAGTATTATTCAGACGCAGTAGGTACGATGCAAGAAGTAGCAGCTTAGTTAAACACAGTCATGGCAGTGCAGATCTCTATCAATACTTCCAATAGACATTGGCTGGTCCTAGATACACTGAGTCTGGAGATAAAACCATGTTTGTTTCTGCTCACCAGGCTGCGATCCCAAATATATCGGTGGCGACTTGACGCCGGCACTGCGAGGTGATACACGCGACAGCGACGATATGCTGGGCTGTGGTGAAGCGGTAAGGCTGCGGTGGCCAGTGATATCCTGGTCTGCGGACAGACGATGCTGATCCGGTCGCTGTGACGGTGCAAACTCACTTGGATGATACTGATGGCCGGAAAACGCTAGCTGCGGACGGATGGGAATACATGATAATGCTACACGTAGTGAGGAATGAGTAGCAAGAACTACATGATTGTACAGCAAAGGCAAAGGTGAAGGTAGCCTACAGTCAAATCCGACGACTGCAGGAGCAATAGCTAGGTGTTAGAGACCTCCTGTGTCAAGCACTGCATGTTATGGTTCAGTAATGGTGTGCTGGCATCGTACTTAGGCCAGGGAAGACTCCCGTCAAACTGGACCTTTGCTGGTACGTCATCGCATGAACAACCAAGCCATTCCCGAATATAAATCAAACTACAGAAGGTCATCTTCAAGTCCAAAGCTGCTCTGGTTGGCAATGCGAGTGGTCGCTAGCGACAATGTGGTTGCCATTTTAGAGCCTGCTGTGAGCAGCACAGCTTCAAAGTGATAGTTACTCTTGTTCATTAATTAACAAGAGAGTGAGTTCCAAACAAGATACTTGCTTGAACTACAGTACCGTAGTTATAGAAGCTGATAAGTGACTAAAGGGGAGGAGGGTCACCGTAGAGCCGAGGCATGACTGACATACCTGCTGGTGCTCCGTACTGGAGTGAAACGGCTGGCCGTGTGAATGCAGTGACATGCCCGGTGATAGCTTCTCCAGCAGTGCCACTGGCAGCCGACCATGCACACCTTTGCACAATACAGACACACATGCAATTTCACGAGCACACACATACGCATGTGCACAAGCACCGCACACATGCATGCAAAACACACACACGTGAAGGTTATCGCCAGAACTTCTCTCTGCCAGCTCTCTTCCTTACATGATACAATTTGATCCAGGATCTTTAACTGACAGAGCACAAATTGATTCTCTCTAGAATGAATCACTGGATATGATTCTTAGCATTCAGTTCTTTCAGGAGCACAAGGAACATATCACTGGCCTTATAGTGCTGGTGTAATACCACTCACGGTTCTGTTGGCATAACTGTGCTATCGGTTTTCTACCCTCTCGTACGTCCTCCTCATGTTATCTGAGCTTTTTTATCCACTCCTAATACATACGCATGTTTTTACATCATCTGTTGGAAAGACTTTCTAGAATACATAACTACACACGAACACCAGTGTTTCCTGTCGAACACTTTGTGTGTTCTTGGGCACAAGTTACGTTGCTCAATTCGAGATCACACTCTGTTACAGTCTGAGGTCTGCTTTTTACGAATGACTGCTGCTAAGTGGGAAACCTTTCTGGGAGATTCAATCCTGCTAGTTCCATAACCAACACGCTCCCTCTAAGTTTAGAGTCACTACAAAATACTATACACTGATTGCAGACCGTGATTACTATTCAAATTGGAAAAGAGATGACATCATGTAAATGTCTTGTTGTGATTCTGTGCAAATCCTGAAAGCAATAAAGATTACACCCGGCTAAAGCTTTGCGATTTTCAGCACATCATCGGAAAGCTTTCCCTTACCTTCGTACTCCACCGTGTAAGCACCATTGGTGAGATCTACACCCGTTACCTGGACAATAGTGCCCGCCAGTAATGATAAGCCGTCTGGATACTGTTCAGTCGGGTTGAAGTCATCCAGTGCTATGTATAGCTGGTGGTTACTGCCACCACTGCCACCATCAATCAGTGCAGACTTGGTGGCCTGTGAATGCAAAATGCACAGCAAGGTTATGTAGGTACACAGAGCTAATCCTGATTGAAAAGGTCAGCCTGCATTCGAGCACTCTTGCTATGATGACATACATACATATACATACACATGCGTGCATGAATTGACATCTCAGAAGTACATCCATATTGTTGATATGTGCACACAGTACTGCATAGCACAGCGTGGGTACACGTTAGAGGCTAGTCGTGTACCTGTACACATACAACTAGTACTGCACAGCGCAGAGTGGCTGCATGGTTTACCGACTAGTGGCATACCTGTTGCATGACTGGCGTTGCTTGTTGACCCCTGCCCGCATGTCTACCACGTGGACTGAGCAGGTCTTGGCTTGAGGACGAGACACCGCTGTGCGTGGACGATGCAACGCTATGCGCGGGTGACTGTGGCCTGTGCTGCAGGGATGACACACTGCGGTGTGCTAGATGCCCGCGATGCGTGGCCGTGCGCGCTGGTGTAGCATGGCCCAGCACAGCAGAGTGGCTCATAGAGCGACTACCACCTGCCAGGGGTGTGTGCACAGCACCAGCAGGTCTATGTCTTGTTCCAGTGTTTAGTGCCGGTCTCTCTGATGCTTGTGCAGCTCCTCGTGTAGATGCTGACGGTGATCTCAGGTTTGGCAGTTCCGACTCTTCCACATCAGATCCAGTCAGTCGCCGCCTCTGCTCAGCCACGGTAGCAGGAGTGGTAGATGACGGTCGATCCCGAAGCAGCGGCGTGTCAACTGTTGAGCGCCGTGATGACTTCCTCGGCTGCTGCTGTACGCCAGGTGAAGAGCATGACGAAGAGTCGAGTAGCATAGACGAGTGATCGGCTGACATATTCATCAGGATGTTGCAGGAAAGCTTTGTTGTCAGTCGGGCTATCTCAGCCTCCAGCTGAAGAATCTTGTCCTCCTTGTCCTTGCACTCATCCGACAGCTCTCCCACCTTTTCCTGCAGCGTGAAGGAAAACAGTAGAGTCACCGATGCATGACATTGCAGGGCGTGGATCCAGACATTCTTTTAGCACCACCACAACTAACACTGTATGATTATCTCAACATGAAACTGTCGTACTACCAGCAGTACATAATTACTGTACCAAACACACACGCAAATACGTACGCACGCACACATGCACACACAAACCACACACGCATGCACACCCACCCACCCATATACACAAACGCGCACGCACACGCACACATGCAGACACACACACACACACGCACAAACACACGCACAAGGTTTCCAAGCCAAGCATGCCATGAGCAAACACCAGCACGTGACTACCTTCAACGAGACAGTTGTCGACATGCTGTTGATTGAGGTGTCACTGACTTGGAATGATCCACCATCGGAAGTGGCACTGGTGAGATCATCTGACGAGACTGCATTACGTCCTCGCTGTGAACACATGCAGAGAAATAAAACCGGGTAAGGAGTACCGGGTGAAAATACAGTATGCGTCCGGTGTCTACATGAGCGTTAGCATGCTAACGAGTTAGCAGCCAGCCCAGCGAGCTGGCCCGACCTGCGCGCATGCGCGAGTCACGTGGGCACGCGCCCTTCAAAATCCTGTACAATGTCTCTTGCATGTCATTGCTGTTTGGACGTTCGAGCGTGCAACTTGCGGAACATGTGTTCCCAAACAATTTCCTTCCGTTTAGACTTTCAAGCTTGCATTCTCGTATCTCTACGCTTCAAATTCAGACTTCAATATCGCCTGTTGGTGCCTGAAACAATGTCGTCGTCTACAGTGGAACGTCGACTGTGGACTTTCAGCTTGCGCCATCATCAGGTTTCCGGGGTGTTCTCAATCGCAGTATTCAATCCGGGACGTCACACAATAACTACCACTAACTTGGTAATGGTATGGTTGTTCCCGGTGACTGGTACCCCGCTGGAGCAAATGGAACGAGGAACAACTTCTGATGTACAAACTGTTTTCTGTATATGGCTAACCCCGGTGATCATGTTGCACACAATAGTCTCGCTAACATACCGCTTCCATTATCCTTGCCACAGTGACTTCCACTCCCTTGTGAGTCCTGAAACAGGTCATGATAAACAGAAAGCAGATCAGAAATTATTAGATCTCCCTGGTCTGAATTCAGAAATATGTTGAGCTCATAACAATGCAGAGTAGCGGCAGCTTGAGGATGATACTCGAGGAATTGCTGGTTTTGTCAAGTTAAGTTGGCAGGAAAGGCGCGCGCTTTCACAAAAAGAGCTGACAGTATCGCATCTAAGTACAAGGAAATCGCGTCAGCCCATCCAGGGCAGATTTACTATTGCATGGCGCGATGATGTGTTCCCCTACTAGAATCAAGCCAGGCTGCATACCATGATACATACATACACTAATGCTAGTCACTCTGCGCTCTGCTGATGACACCTAACACTAACAGGTTCAAAACAGATAACTGTCCGGAGATCGAGTACCAACGAACACGTAATGAATGCTTGAAGCCTTGGCTACAAAAGCTTCCAGCAGGACTTTAAAAGCTATCTAGCCCTATTCTGCATCTACACTTCGACTATGGACACATGGCGTGACGTCTTCAAGAGATGTACTTGGTAAGCATGTTGCATCCTCCCCCCCCCCCTCCCACACACACAACCGTGAGTTCATAATATCCGACATTCGATTTTTCTAAAACCATGCAAATTTTCTGCGCCGGTACCTATCTATAACGACTCTATTCAAGGTATTGTTTTTTCCGGAGTATAAGCCGGGGACTGGAGTATAAGCCGCACCCCCCTCCCCCATTTTTTGGCCACGAAATACAGACATCTATCCTATTTTATCATCCTTTTTTTGATCATCGGAGTATAAGCCGCACCTCCCCCCCCCCTTTTGGGGTGAATTTTGAGCGAGTGCGAGTGCATGCATATATGAAATGGTGAACCTAACATACCACCCGTACAGGTTTTACTGGACAATCGAAGTGATCTTGACTATGAGTAGTAGCACACTTACTGGAGTGCTGTCTCCAGTTCGCGCAGTCTTGCCTCCATGCCCTGTTCACCACTGCCTTCCACATTGGCAGTGTACTTCAACTCCAGGGACACTAATCTCCACAGCAACAGCAGCTGTATGAGGTCATGCACAGCAGAAAACATATCAGCTGATCACCATGAAAACAAATATCATGTAGATCCCGAACCCAAAATTGAAAATAGAAACATTCGTATCACAGCTGCGTTCAGCGCATACCTCGAAAAGAGCACCACTTCTCATTTTATTCAAACGTTGAGGGAGTTGCACAGGAAAATGGTCTGTAGACAAAAGTGGACTGTCAGCACCAGGACTGTCAACATCAGGACCATCAAATACCAGGGGCATTTACTAGAGGGCAGTGATGCTCAACCAGTAAGCCTTCATGTAGCTGTCATCCATTCTCACTTGCTTCACTCGTTAACTAAGCCCATCCGAAGTAAAACTTTGCAGGTGTGACCCACTTCCCTGACTATAGGCATCACACTACAGATCTCTTGACTTAGCCACGACGTATACACTGAGCTAGAGCATTGGACTGGTACATAGCTAGCCTGATCCGGCCTTGGTATAGTGTGTATTCTACAGGCACACGCCAGCCAGCCTGTCCGAAGCTAGTGTCAAGATTCAACGCACATACCTCGGAGTTGAGAGCTTCATTGGTCTTGGCAAGGGAATCCTTTTGACGTGTTAAGTGTTCAATCACCACCTTGCTGGTCTGAAAGGTCCAGAAGATATTGCACAGACGAAATTTCATGCTAAGCAATTCCATGGCAATGGTACGTATACAGAAGAACCTTGACTACCGGTCACAACGCTCAATGCACGGCGTGCAGAGCTTAGCATGAAACTCGTGAGTAGAGACATTTAATCACTTTTTGTTCCACCGGATTTTCGTTTGCAATGATAAATATATGTAGCTTCTTACCAACTCATCCAACAAATTCTACACGTATATGCGCCATTTTTATTGCTTGCCATCAACAACAAAAAATTGAGACCATAGCCCCAGTGAAAAGGGCCAACAGCACACATCAAGCTACATCATCACATGGCCAGCAATCGAGGACATCTGAGAGTTGTAATTTTTGTACTCCTCCGAGGTATGATTTTTGGCGTGCTGGGCCAAGCACAAGGAAGCCATCTGCCAAAAAAGTGAAGAAAATGGTTGTTGTTTGATCCTTTGGTGTAAACTTTGTAGCTAGTCGAAGGAAGTTGCTGTTTGGAGTAGAAACGCTGAAATTGACTATTTTCTGCATGTACTCATGCATGTACTCATGTACTCAGGCATGCAGTCTCACTCGTATTTTAGCTCTTTTCCTGGAATGGAGGCTGCTCTGCGCCCCTTGGTGAACATTTCCAGCGCTCGTGGAGCAGCTGAAAAGGACCACTGGTATGTCTGGTTCCTGGTTTGAAAGTGGAGAGTCGACTTTTGTGCCCTGAAAAAGGAGGAGAGAGTGATAAAGGTACGTCTGTAGCTTATTTTGAGTGCTCCTCGTACAATTTTGATCGTGATAGAAACTCTCAGACCAAAGTCAGCGCGAAGATAGCCGTACAGTTTTCCTGTGGATTTTTTGGTTGTTTCGTCTCGTATCTATGTCAGTATCGTGATAGTGAAGTGGAGAGGGTGATTATCTTCCTCTGGGCTTCGTTCGGCCGACTTTGCTTCGTCCTCGTTGAAAAGTGATGCTGAAAAAAAGGTCGATTAGCATAATTATGTTGATTTTGAATGTACTTGATGACACGCGATTGCTGGCTATGTGTATGTGGGAAAGTGATGTGGGCTCTGCACCAAACAGAAATCAGCCACCATATTACTCATGAAGGATGGAGAATTTACGCCATGAAGCTTTTCTGAGGAGGATGTTCAATGAAAAGAACGGGCTTCATCTTTACCTCGAGCTCTTGTGTTAGCTGTGTTGCCTCCTTGCTGCTGCTGCCACTGCCACTGCGAGCTGCCCGCTCTGCCTGCATGTACAGGATAGCCATAGTGTCATAAGAGGGGCATCAAAGGAGTTTTGAAGTGGCGGAATAAGTTCATACCTTCCCCATAATGTTTTTGGGGAAATCCAATTTAGGAAAGAATTTTGTCCAAATTTTGGTGAAATCTTACAGTATTGGCAGGGTGCAGAACCCATCCAGGAAGCATGTGTATAGAAGTAGTGCTAGGTTGACAATCATTTTCATACTGCTCCAGTTTGTAGAACTGCCATATGTGATCATGGATTACACAGTCGACCAACATTTCTACACCTGTCAAGCATGGACCAGACAAACCATTCTGAATGAACAGTGGAGCCGGCGGGAGTGGCTGGCCTGGTATCCTTGCCTGGGTGTCCCTGATGCGCCGGGTTGCGGGGTGGATGGTCTTTTAACCAGGTCCATCACACAACCCTACAGGAGAGGAATGCTTGAAGTTATACCCAAAATAGATGACAGCACTGGATGAGCATGTGACCATCATTTTCTCGGTAGGCACACCAAGTGTAGTACATAGAGACGACTATAATTATACTAAGTATTGCGTACTCTCATGCACACGTACGCAATGTAAAGGGTGATATCACTACTTCTACATGTAGATGCGTCCTTTCCGGAGCTACTCTTGCACCGGCCCTCTCTCACAGTCGCGGCAATGGCACACAACCAACATCATCGTAATTCTTTAGGATGCTGACTGGTACAACTTTGAAGAAGCTGCGCACTTACCTTTGTCTTGACATTGGCATACTGTATTTCCAGTGTTTGTTGTTGCAGCCATGACAGAACACACATGCATGAACAAACACAGAGACGAACACCCGTCACAATCAGCCCAAACTGCACAGTATAGTACATAGAATATGTATGTAGTGGAGCTCAAACTCTCTGCAGGACAGACCAAATTCACAAAAAATGGAAAATTGGAGATAAGGAGAGGCTAACATGTACACTGTCATTACACTTGGTCCTTCCTTCGTTTTTCTCCTTCAACTCCGAGTCTGTCAATGATTTATAGGGAATGTTTTTATTCAGCAGTCCTACAAGCACCCATTTACATCTTGCTATCGGGGTGATTTTCGGTCATTCTTACATCTTGCTTCAGCCCTTCGTGGATACGTTCTAGAGCTTCCAGCTTCATGGCGGCCGTCTGCAAGCTTGTCGACTCGCTCTGCACATGGACGTAGACAGACAAGCAATGCAACTAACATGGTGTTTATAACACGACACAGCACCCTTCTCTCTACACTCTAGCCTCGAGCATACAGGGAGAGCAAATTTTGAACTTAAAAGGAGTGAAATCACCATGCTGCATTTACCCTGCAAAGTCAAAACAATATTGATAAATCATGCAGTAGAGAACAGTTTTCTACACGATTTCCGCAAAACTAGAAAAAGCACCCAGAACGGTCACAAAACTGCATCAGAGTCCTGTGATGGTAGCAAGTGTGCTCATAATGCTCCTGCTCCTTACACAACCATCATGTGGTCTGTAGTACAGAATAGACCCATTATCATGTTCTAATCTCTAACCTGACTCATCTCAAGTCGGCTGGTCAAACGCTGGCACTGGGCTTTCATGATAGCTACTTCTTGTTGATTCTCCTCCAGCTGCACCCCCAAACACACACACACACACACACTCACACACACACACACACACACACACACACACACACACACAAGCGTATACACACATACATGTACGAGCATGCACACAGACACGCACACGCACCCGCGCCCACGCAAGCACATACACATCAATTCTGACAGTGTGAGAATATAAGGCTGGGAGGTTTTTGTGCATTATGATCATCAGCAAAGCACCGTTGATCATCAGCCATGGCCACTGATCCCTGCACTCACTTCACAGTCTCCTAGCAGGTGACTGAAGAAGTTCCATGTTGATCAATCTCCTAAGACATTTACATGTATTTAGGAGACAAACCCAAGTTATAACAGAATAGCCGTACCTCTTGCACGGCCGCCAGGTGTTCTTCATTCTATAGTCACGGGACACGGAATGTGTTTTTAAACACACGACACACAACAGACAAACACATACACACAACAGACAAACACAGACACACATGTTAGCAGGGTCGTAACGTTGTGTTAGAAGATGCTAAGCAAATTAAGCACCCCCCCCCCCCCCCCACACACACAAAGTCCGATTCATCATCTCGATGTTATAGAACACTACTAAATTACAAGGCTGCTATCCGGGATGGGAAGACGACTACATGATATGCATGCACGTCAAATTGCATTATGCAGGCCATGGTTGTTCCTATGATGTTCTCACTGTAACTCTTGCTTCGATTACTCAGTATAACATGCAACAGGTATGCATAGCACCTTACCCTGCTTCTTAGCTGCAGTTGCAGATCCTCTACTTCATCATTCCTTGTCTTGAGCATCTCCTGCAGCACGTCCACTGCCATAGAGCCCTGTGCACCGCCAATGCCAGCCGAGCCGAGGCCTGGTGACGGCGGTGACGGTGATGGTAGCGATGGAACTTTGCTCGCCATGATCTGCTTCTCCTTTGCCGCGCTCAGTCTTTGCTTGATGGCACCGAGCGGGGTCCCCGTGCATGTCTCCAGGCTTGTCAGTACAGCAGAGAGGTGCTCCAATGGTAGACCTGGTGTGAGCAGCTCTTGCAATGTGGTGATGCCGCGCTTCACGCCCACTGTGTCATTCTCCTGCATGCACCGACAACACATACACAAGGCTGAGTTCGTAGGCTTGTCCGTAAGGAGCCCATGAATGCATACAGATACGGACAATATCCACAAGGACAAAATCCACTGGGACAATTCTCCATAAGGACCCGGCATTGCGTAGGCAAGCACCAGGGTACCCAACGTTCAGCGAACAGACTGAAAGTAAAACACATATCACTTAGTCATGTATACCCAGCCAATTATTTGACTACGGCGAGACTGACATGCCCGGCAACCAACTCAGTGCGCCCTCCCCCCCTTCTCTCTCCAACACGCGCCGATACTTTATCTCTCATCACCTGACACTGCATTCTCTAGCAACTACAACATTACACAGCATAACTAAGATTCTGTCCATACTTGCACAGTTTGCACTTACCACACTGGCATGGCAAAGCTGCATCATCACATCCATGATTCCAACCCGCTCCCGCAGTAAGGCTTCGACCTGAGGCATGAGATCCATGGACACCTGGACGGTTTAGACAAGGTACCACACAGACAAACTCGTCCATCATGATCAGGCACTTCCTTCTACTAAGCAACACCAGTGATGGCACCAGCACACACAAAAACACACACACACACACTCTCTCTCTCTCACACACACACACACACACGCAAGCGCGCGCGCGCACACACACACACACACACACACACATATACACACACACACTTGTGTGTGTGTGTGTGTGTGTGTGTGTGTGTGTGTGTGTGTGTGTGTGTGTGTGTGTGTGTGTGTGTGTGTGTGTGTGTGTGTGTGTGTGTGTGCGTTCTCTAGTGCACCACAGCGTGACCCAGTTGAGCTTGGTTTTCCGTTCACATTGGACCCTGATTGAATGAATAGGCCAGATCACAAGCAATCGCTTGAAACACAAGTGTACTACTCTATGATCAAAACTTTTAAATTACTCCACTAGAGTGCATAGTAGCGGTCCTGTAATTGACAAGAACGCAATCTGTTTCATCACGCCAGCCTCATGGTAATTAGCAAATAGCAATACTGCTACGCTACTGTCATGTTACTACCGTAGCCACAGCAATTCAAAACCACCATACAAGAAAAGTTGATTTACTATTCTATCAACAAATCATTACGAGAGCAGCAATAGTCTGCAGCCATACCAGAGAGCTGATAGACTCCAGCTTATGAGATGCCTGTCGGTGTTCGTTGGAAGCGGCTCGCAATGCCTGTGCCGGAGGAAATGAACACAACCCGGCAGAGTGTTGCTTTATTGGCAAAAGTATACCTTTTAGGGCCAATAGAACAGAAAGTGCACCTGATGGGCACCCAAATAGCTGCATTATTCATAAGTGTACTAGAGTTGGCTGTACCTGCCAAATGTGGGACAAGTTGCCCTGAAAAAAGGCCGCAGCCATGTTTCATCCATAGTTGGTGCCGTCAACACAATTCACACTCATCCATGATTCAATGTTCCGATGTCTCTGGCTATACCCAGGTTTCACGGTGGTACTGATCATCCTTAGCAGCATTCAATCAACACCTTGCCGGGCAGGCAAATAGTGTGGCTGTTATACTGTAGTATAATAGTGCTGATCATGAGTCACAGCAGTTCCAGTGCACATGATAACTTCCAGTGGAACCCCGAGTCCGAATACCCCCACGGGCAGCAGGAAAATACTGAACTACAGTTGTGGCAAGTGAAATCCGACACTTGGCATAAGGGACTGCACCGTGCATCCTGCAGCCTCTGCAGCCCTGCATGCATACGTACAGTACATGTGCTGCATACAACTTTATCTGTCTGATGACAGAACTCGTACTCAGCACAGTCAAGGTTCAAAAGGTGCTGGCAAAATTTTAAAAAGGAATGGGAATTGGATACCAATACTCCTTATGTGTACCATATTTGTGAACTGTGTGTATCTAAGCTGTGACCTTTCGACCTGTTTGGGATGCATGCGGCTCTATAGTACAAATTAGGTGCAGTGCATTACATCATTGATGTCCATTTGAGGCGCTGTCCCCTATGGCAAGTGTCGGATTTCACTTGCCACAACTGTAGTTAGTATCCGAGGTCTTTCTTATCCAAACATGCTTCAGTGTAGAGTGGTGCACCCATGCTCTGAACAATGTCCGTACTAAGCAAGTGTACGGTACAGCTTATCAGAGTACGTACTAGATGAATTCCACTGTACTCCTCATTCAGGTTGGTGTAGATAATAGTAGAGATAGCATACTCACAGCTAGTTCAGCTTCATGCACCTTTGCCCTTCTCTCCACTGCCTTCTTGTCAGACTCGACAGACTGAAGTTGGGCCTGGAGGCACAGAAAGACAGTCAATCAGATATAGAAGAGTGTGAGGGGCTGGGGGGAGGGGGGGGGGGGGGGGAAGCATAGCTGATTTGCTCAACATGGGTTTCCTCTTCCCCAAATCAATACAACAATTGTGGCGCCCACCATCATACCTTCATCTGCTGAACGTCTCTGTTAGCTTGCTCCACATCCTGAGTAAAAGCCCGCTCCGTCTGCTCAAGATGCTTCTGCAGCTGCTCCTGGAAGCATGAAACGGCAGACACCAAAAAGAAAAGCAGTTCAAAACTGCATGTGTAACTCTGTAGATTGACCATTGGAAGGAAACGCGCAAGTTCAAGTGTGCCGGAACCCAAGTTTGAACCATGCCTTAGTGTCCTCTTGGAGGAGCATTTAAAAGTGGCAGGGAGAGTGCAAGACACACAATATCCAAAGGTATATATCTTCTGTTGTAGATGCAGAACAAGCCAGGTGGGTGACATGTTTGGGACAAACGGATCCAGGCACCGTACAATGAAGAATAGAGGTTGCTCCGTACTTATCACTAAAACCGGTGATGGCTGTGTTATGTACAGAAAGACAATCAGGGTCAGAATGCTAGCGTTTCCATTTGAAATCCACACTCATTCGTGGTGCAATGTTCTGGTGTCTCTGGCTATACCCAGGTTTCACGCTGGTATTGAGCATCCTTAGCAGCATTCATTCAATTGGCTCCATACCGGATAAGGAAGTCAGACAATTAGTATCGCTGCTATACTGTAGTATAATGCTGATGATGATGATGATGATGACAGAACAAAGGCATCCGGTTCGGCTGGTCTGGCATTGACTGGACCTTATTTTGAAAAAAGGTTGAGCCAGCCAGTTCGTGAAAAAACTGGGTTCTTCATAATGTCCATTTCTGGTTAAGTACCCCATTTGGCCGGACCACCTGAAACCCTAGGGCTATGGCCCTGGAGGATCATTAGGTACAGCAGTTCTATTGGCCATTGGACACTGCATGTACTTCTCATTGGTCGGTCAAAGTAAAAGCAAATTACATACTCACAGTAAGCTCAGCTTCATGCACCTCTGCCTTTCTCTCCACGTCCTTCTTGTCAGACTGGGCAGACTCAAGTTGGGCCTGCAGCCATAGAAAGACAATCAATCAGATATAAAAGTGTGCGGGAGTGGAGGGGGGCGGCGGGGGCATGGCTAATTTGCACAACACAGGTTTCCTTGTCCTACACACAACGCAACAGCTGTGATCACCGTTATCGTATATTCATCTGGCGGATATTCCTGTTAGCTTGCTCCACAGGGGTGGGGATACCTGATGTGCTGAACATTGGTTTCCTCTTCCCCAAATCAATACAAACATTGTGGTGACCGCTCTCATACCAGCAGCTTAAGAACGTCTCTACTAGCTTGCTCCACATCCCGAGTCAGTGATCGTTCCTTCTGCTCAAAATGTTTCTGCAGCTGCTCCTGATAGCACAAGTATAGGAGACACCAAAAAAAAACATTTCAAAACTGCATGTGTAGCTCTGTAGATTTAACAGCTGTGATAGAAGAGAAAGTTAAAGTGTGCAGGAACCAATTATTAACTATCCCATAATATCCTCTCGGAGCGGCGATCTAAAAGTGGCAGGGAGAGGACACAAAATCCATTGACTTTCCGACCCGAATATTGATTCTATACTCTGTAGTAGATTCAGGATGTACCGTACACGGTGTTGTGGACAAACAGATCAGCCATTGTAAAGTGTAAGAATAGAGAGATGCACCAAAGATCACTCAAGATTTACCGAAGACGGCACACCGAGTCAACGCTACTATCAAGGGAATAACACAGTGAGACCAACCAATCCAAGCCGACCGTGTAGTACAGACCGCTCGAGGGACCGAACAAATATGGTCTCTTTCTTCAGGTAGCCTCCTTGTCCAGGGTCATTTGGCCGGGAAATAACATCCCTTCGCCATAGTTATAATGGTCTTCTTGGACAGGTGGCTACCTTATCAGAGTGGTCATCTTGACAGATTTAACTATACATTGCGTATGGGGTTTTCTACCTTACCAACATCTCTGCATTCTCCCGACCGCCGGCCACTTGGGCATCGTGTAGCTTGGCCTGGAGGCCCAGGACCTGCTTCTGTGCTTTTCTCTTGTCACTCTGGGAGAGTAGGACACCGGACATAGAGCACACAGCACAGTTACGAGTAGGACGCCACCCTACGACAGTGCACGGTGAACACCCGCGCTACAACTTACATCATGCTCAATGCATAACAGGTAATACAAATTTTAACATCATGGTGATCATGGTGATTCGGAGCAAACAAAACACATCCTATGTTGCTGCTGGCTGGGTGTCTCTGCCTCACAAGTGCACCGCCTATGGCAATGCGGAAACGTGAACTTTTATCGTTCGCATACGGACTTGATAAAGAGATGACTGTCTCTGACAAGTAGACTGGTTTGCTGGTGTAATATTGGTACCGGTACAGGTGCTAAGGTACTAGGCAAAACAATACACCAACTATTGCGTATAGTCAAAGGAGGCCACAGTAGCCTAGAGATCATACCTCCGAGACCTCGAGCTCCTGCAGCAGATCCTGCACAAAGACCAGAAGGATTGATAAGGTATGCACATAGAAAGCAAGTGATGGTGATTTCAAGTGGACTCCACCGTAACCATGAGCACGAGTTTCCCATACTTGAAGAATAGTTTCGTTCTAATTTGAAATGGTGCCATCTTCATGCAGCCAGGTCATGTGACATGGTTGACCAGGGTAATGAGCACTGCACAGGACACTGCAAGGTCATGACTGTGAAGTGTACGGGAAGTGTTCGGGATATGGTATTGCGTTGCCAAGGTGACTCTCACCTGAACCTGCCGATCCCTCTCTTCCACTTCCTCCTTCAGTTCTGCAACAGCACTATTCAACTGTGTAGACTTCTGTAGGAGTGAGAGCACAGCATCCACACGTCATGCATACATTATCACCCCTACTAGGCCCTAGCTACTGAGAACTAGTACAGGTGATAATACTAACGATTATGGTTGTATGCTACTTCCCTATTCTGTTTCTTAAATTTCTAAAACAAAGCAATTTAGATGATCGAGGTCATGATAAAACCATCATCGGCCTCAAAAACGGTCTCTTAAAGGGGAATATACGCCTCGTAAAAGACATCGGCTTTGCTTGGATACTTTACTCAGTATGGGTATTTCTCCATATCATGACACCTCATTCATAGTCAATAATAAAATGCATGTACAGTGAAGCTCGGTTATAACGACATTGGTTATAACGACAAAAAATCCATGGTAGCAGCAATTTTGTATTGAATTGTGTACAAAAAAGATCGGTTGCAACGACAACTCGAATAACGACAAATCGAGAATAACGACCGATTTGTCATGCACCGTAGTGTGAAAATGGGTCAAAATAGCGACATTCTCACGACTGCGACGTACGTACGATCGATTCTGGCTTTCACAGCTGCCGCGGGCCGGGTGCACAAGATCTAATCGTACAGTGCAGTCTAGCGTACATCGACTGTACACTGCACTGCACTGCACTGCACACTCGTACACGCCTGGAAACTTCGAAGGAGTGTCGACATGTCCTGATCTACTGACGGTAAAATACGTATACTGTGTACAGGTGTAGTGCGCACTTACCCTCCGTACCTTCCGTATCGTCTGCGACGGATTTTCGCAACATTATTCTTTCTCCGAGAAATCACTTTCTCAGTTGTCGTTGGACCAAAGACTTGGAAGTTCGAGATGTCTCGCCCTGTCTCTGTTGGAAAGCGAAAGCGCTTCTCCTACGCGGAAAAGTGCGCCATTCTGCAGGAGCTGGACAAAGGTGCAAAGCAGACATTCGTTCAAGAAAAGTATGGAGTCGCGCACGGTACTCTCGCTGGCTTCATCAAGAACCGAGAGGAGATTGTGGCCAAAGTGAAGAAAGCGACGTCAATGGATGCCAAGAGCTCTAGGCAGTCGAGTTTTCCTGAGTTGGACGAAGCGCTCCTTGTGTTCAGTTGAAAAAGCACCATTGTGCAGAAAATTAATTTTGCCGCGTTTTGGTATGCATATTGTGTTGGAAATCTCAAGATCGGATATAGTGACAGATCGCAAATAAGGACTTTTTTGGCGTTCCATCTCGGGTGTCGTTATAACCAAGCTTCACTGTATGTGTATATGCCTTGACAAAAATGTCCACAGCACACAACGTACGTCCTCCGAGGTCTGCAGCTCATCGAGACTAGTTTGAAGAGCGTCGTCCTTAGCTGCTTCCTGTCGAGTCATTGCATGCTAAGAACAGAGAAAGCAAGAGCAGTGACTACACACGACATGTATATACATACACTACTACAAGCTATACACAAAGGTATGCACTCTGGTGTCAATCTAAGTCTAGATCTGAAGATCTTCTGGCTCAGTTGCTGACTCTGACTATGATTGCCTCTGGGACTATGACTGCCTATTTGGGCTGTGATTGCGGGCTACGATTGGCTATGCGCTATGATTGCCTGTGGGGGCTTTGATTGCCTATATGGGCTATGACTGCCTATAAGGGGCTATGACTGCCTATAGGGGCTATGATCGCCTATATGAACTATGATTGCCTATATGGGCTGTGGTGGCCTATACGGGCTGTGATTGACTATAGGGACTACGGTTGCCTATGGCTATGCTCACTTATAGGGGCTGTGATTGCCTATAGGGGCTATGATTTCCTACAGGGGTTGTCATTGCCTATAGGGGTATAATTGCCTATATGGGTTACATACACCATAGCTCAGTAGCATCGCTGGCTACAAGCGAGGGTCCCTGGTTCGAGTCCTGGCGGCGATAGTCAGTTTTTTTTCTTCAGACTTTTCCTGTTTGCGTCTTTCCCTCAAACCAGTGAATATTATGGGTTACGATGGCCTATAGGGCTATGGTTGCCTATAGGGGCTACAATTGCCTATGGTGCTATTATCGCCTATAGGGGCAATGGTTGGCGATATGGCCTATTTGCCTATAGGGGCCGGTGCTTGTCTATAGGGGCTATAATTGCCTATGGGGCATGATTGCCTACAGGGATATGAATGCCTACAGGGATATGATTGCCCACAGGGGCTATGAATTCCTACAGGGGCTGCGATTGCCTATAGGGGCTATGATTGCCTCTATCAGTATGCGCTAGGATTGCCTGCATGGGCTATGGTTGCCTATAGGGGCTATGATTGCCTATAAGGGCTACGGTTGCCTATAGGGGCTATGAAATGCCTATAGGGGCTGTGATTGGCTATATGGGCTATGGTTGTCTATGGCCTGGGGCGTGATTGCCTATGGGGCGTGATTGCCTATGGGGGCGCGATTGCCTATACGGGCTGTGCTTACCTGTAGGGGCTATGTTTGCCTATAACAGTATGGGCCATGATTGCCTATAGGGGCTATGGCTGCCAATAGGGGTTATGATTGCCTAAAGGGGCTACACTTGCCTATAGCCTATAGGGGCTGCGGTTGCCTATAAGGGGCTATACTTCCCTATAGGGTTGATTGATCAGCGCTATATGCTCTTGAATTGAAGTGTGTAGCCACGTGGATTCTACGTCTCCACTTTGTCCTTGAAACGCTATATGGAGGTTTTGTGTAGTAGATGCACAATGATAATGAGTAAGTGATCAATAAGAACTTCCTAAAGGCGATCATGCTCATTACCTCTTTCATCTTCAGCGTCTCCTGAAGTGACTCGATCTGCTGCCGAGCTTCCAAAAGGTCCTGCAGGCCAAATCCATAAGACGTTGTATCAGAAACTTGTCAGAGACGTAAACAAGAATAGCATGACTAGCATCACTGTGGTTTCCTCACAGTACACTGTGCATGAGCCCACTAGCTAGCCCCCCCCCCCGGTCAAGAGGTTGATTGGCCACGTCGCTAAACCAAGTCACAGCCATTTCCCGGGGACTCGTGGGTTTGGCTTTCTTATCGAAACTGTCATATCCCCTGCTCGCATGCATGCCTGCGCCTAATGTTAGTGATCATGAGCCTGACGCAGCTTTACTTACAGTCTCCAACTGCTGAGTCTTCGCATCGGCCTCTTCCACAGCCTGCAGTCAACAGTCAATCAACACAACAGAACACACTGGAGAAAATAAGGACAACACCGCTCCATACAAGCATGAACACTAAGGCAGTACGGCAGCCAACTTGTTATGATCTATGATCAACGCGCAACTTGCCCAGTCAGGCGATAACACACTGCGTTTTGACAATGTGCGTCCACAAGCTTAACTCCATCACACAAACGTTGATAGCATAGTCTATCATTGGTGCACAAGAACCATCTTTCATCAGAGAAAAACAGAAAACGTATGCCTTCCATGGGCTAGCCATGGCAGACGAAGAACATAAGTCTGCAACATTGACGCTCACATGCACTTCTAGTACGCTTTACCTTCCAAGCCGTTTCCAAGCCTTCTGACAAAGTGGCCTTCGCCTCCATGAGCTCCGTGCATGTTGCGCTGAGAGTTGCAATCTCCTCACCGCCCATCTGGTGTGTTTCGACGGACTGACGAAGCTCTTCCTGTGCTGAACCCAAGTCCTCCTGGAGTTGAATGGCTCTGTCCTCGGCCGTCTGTACGGCTTGACGCAGGGCAGAGATGGCCTGCAGCACACACACCCACGCACACGCACACACACACACACACACACACACACACATACACACACTCACACACACACACACACACACACACACACACAAAACACAAAACACACACACAGGGCAGCAAGTAAAGCAATATTGGCACATCCTCGCTACCACCGGCTATGCAATTGCGTTTCGAAACAGTAGGTTGGGGAAATACAGTAAGTGTGACTGCACATGCTTACTAACGGTATCCTAACTGGCGTAATAACAACCCCGCCGTACAGAAACAGACTAACAGATGCGTTTCCAAGCATATTCTACACTTAATAAATTGTGTTGTGGGTGTTCCAGATCATGGGAAAAGACAGTAACGGCATTGAAGCCATAATTATTACCTCTTGCTGTTGTTGATAATCTGCCATCAGCTCCTCATATTCCTCTCTCTCCTTGTCGGACAGGGAGTGTTGGAAATGCAAAGCAAAGACCCGGCGCAAGTGCATATGCTCCTTCTCCAGCTGAGAGAAATCGGCTTCAAGCTCGTCCCTCTCAAACGCAGCCTATTTGCACACACAATGTAAGTGAGTGCAGGGAGAATGAAGGCATTGTGCAAACAGTACTGTCGGGCGCCGAAGAACGGAGTGCCGAAGAGCGATGTGTACACAGTGACTCGACTGCGTACAGACTGTAATACATGAAAATAGGAATGGTCTTACTAGGAGGCTGACCGCTAGCTTCATATGGCGTGGTACGACGGATGCGTAATCTAAACCTGACGTAACCCGACGCGACACTTTTTTACCTTCTCGCCTTGGTATGCATGGGCTTCATCTTGGCTGTATAGCGGCACCTTGGTCTTCTCACCTGTGCTGTGGTGTGAGCTCCCATTGACACTTCTTCCCTCCTTCGGAGCAAGAGGACTTACACCCTTTTGGCGGAATGCCCTGTATTATAAACTGCTCCTTTGTAGCTGGCACGGTATCATTGTTCAGTTACCTGATGATGGCCATGTGCCGAAACGTTGTTTAACGAGAGAGCTTGTAAGCTCAGGGCCCTGCGCTATGCTTTGTTGCCTAGCTCATGGTGCATGTTGTTAGAACTGATGGAAATGCTTTTTCCCTTGATTAGCTACATCATTGTATAGCAAAAAACGTTTCAATGAGATACTGAAGTAACGTCTTCTGCATAGCTATGGGACCGGCGCTGACTCTGCCGATCACGGGCGTTCTGGAGTCGACGGGATGTCTGTCCTGACGTTTCCTGGGACCGGCGCTGACTCTGCCGATCACGGGCGTTCTTCTTATTCTTATTATTATTATACTGACGGCAACTAAGTTCCATTAGGATTGCATTTACTCGTCTCCCTACTTCGTATTTCTTTCCAGAAAATCTCCCCATACAGCAGGGAGTCGTTTACATAATAATTATGACTCCCTGCTATACATCTACATGACTGTATATACGTTACAATTATTATGCTATCGGCCTACATGCGATTCCCGGGCTGGTCGACAGGCGGCCCAGCCAGCCTGCTAGTGGGATCTCGGCCTCGCACACAAATCCACACAAAATGTTACTGCACTGAATGCATTCCCCCGATACACTTCGCATATATACTCATTCTCTTGATGGTACCGTACTCTTGATGGTACGGGACAGGTACGGGATAGCGCCAGGCATGTCGATGGCACAAACCAGGGAGTAGTACAATACCGGTATTGTATCACTCCCTGGCACAAACAAACAAAAATATTGTGGCCAGCTGTCTTTGTTGGTACAGTACAGTACGGGACAGATACGGGATAGCGCCAGGCGTGACACAAACAAACAAACAAACAAACAAACACCAAATTAAAGCTGTGTGGACCCTGGCTAGCGCCAGACGTTACTGAAGTAACGTCTTCTGCATAGCTACGGGAATAAATGGAATTGGTTCAGATTTGCAGTGAGACTGGAATGGGTGTGTCCACCCAAGCTTCTTTTCTGTATATATTTGAATCGACACATGCCAAGAACTGCCACTTTAACATAAAAGCAGAATGGCTTTTAAGGATACCGATCACTTCCAAGATCAGGGTAGACCCCAGTGGTACTGCTGGGGTCTACCCCGACCTTGGAAGAGTGATCGGTATGCTTCAAAGCCGTTCTGCTTGTATGTTAAAGTAGCGAATTTCGGCAAGTTAGCTGTGTTTTCGTAGTCAATTACTACTACATCCCATTGCCCAGTTACACAGTACAGTATGTATGTGCTATAAGCTAGCCAACCCATTTGTTTTGCATGATCTCATAGCCATATCCAATACAATCTTACAACCAATATTACATGCGCATATACATGTACACGCATGTGTAAAACTGCGACCATATGGATATGCTTGTAGATGCACAGATGCACAGATGTACAGATGCACAGATGTACAGATGTACATGCAGACATCACTGTACAGCACAGGTAGTGTCGGCATAGCGTGCCTTCAAATGCTGAACGCGGCAAGTTCACAACCATGTACGGCCAATAGCCATACCGGACCATGTGAACCCGAAAGAGGAAAGAAAACTTGCATTGCGCCGCACTGCAATAATGGCTGCTGTAGTGATATTAGGTGCACGGTCTCTTTCCTTTTTCGGGTTCAGGCGCGCGTGTGTGTGTGTGGGGGGGGGGGGAGAGGAAGGCATATGCCCCCCCCCCCGAGTCAGACACTGACAAGCTACTGTACCTGATCAGCTTCGTCCTGCAATGCACTGGCCAGGGATTCAAGTGATGAGGATCTACTCATGAGTGCCAGACCCTGTCCCTGACTCTGTGTGGCTGCAGGCACAATGGGGTTCTAGTTTACAGTAGTTGATACGAAGAGAGCACAAGTGCAGACACACACATACACAAACACGTACACACACATACGCACACATGCACACACACACACACACACACACACACACACACACACACACACACACACACGCACACACACACACACACGCAAGTATGCACGTACACATATTGGTCTACACATAAGTATCAGAACTGAATATGAATATCCAGTGCTGACCAATGCACTAATCACAATATCCAGTGCTGACCAATGCACTAATCACAATATCCAGTGCTGACCAATGCACTAATCACAATATCCAGTGCTGACCAATGCACTAATCACAATATCCAGTGCTGACCAATGCACTAATCACAATATCCAGTGCTGACCAATGCACTAATCACAATATCCAGTGCTGACCAATGCACTAATCAGTAATCACAATATCCAGTGCTGACCAATGCACTAATCACAATATCCAGTGCTGACCAATGCACTAATCACAATATCCAGTGCTGACCAGTCCACTAATCACAATATCCAGTGCTGACCAGTGCACTAATCACAATATCCAGTGCTGACCAATGTACTAATCACAATATCCAGTGCTCACCAATGCACTAATCACCACCAAACCCTCAGAATCCTGAACCTTATCTGAGTGCACAGCCCGGATTTTTGTTTCCGGAGACCATGCAACACTTTGCATATTGGTTTATGACTGTGTGACTCCCTCCTCTCAAAACAAGTCGACGTTAATACATCACCAGCACTAGGCCAGGCGCGTGCCCCGTATGGGTTCCTGGGTGCCCGAACCCCCCCCCCCCCTTTTCGCTCAAAATGCAGGATTTTGCTTCATTTTTTGAAAATTTTCCCGGGGGAGGCCCCCGGAACACCCCCCCCCCCCTTGAAGGGCACCGGCGCACACGCCTGCGTAGGCTGCTTGTGTACTGCACATGATAGTCACGGATGTATGTACTGCTTACTGATTCTTTGGAAGGCGATGGAATTCCAGAGAAGGATTGTGAGCCAGACATGCCAGAACTGGAGCGACTGGCACGGGTTGTAGCGGCTGCCAGGGACGCCTCCAGCTCCTGCTGCTTCTTCACAAGGGAGCGCTTGGAGGACAACGCCTGCTTCAGGCGCCGGTCTTTATCCTAGCACGGCAGGCAGAATGAAACACTATACTGAATGAATATCACAAACAGACCTACATGGCCAAACATTATACTGAATGGATATCACAAACAGACCTACATGACCAAACACCATGACAGTGCCACTGACCTCAGCAAGCAAGTCACAGATATGAAACGCTACGAAAGAAGACGCGGTAGATGGCATTTGGATGCCATACTAAATAAAGGATTCCAATATCAACCGGTACAATTCAATTCTGATACGCCTACTCACAGTCATGTTCTGCTTCAAGTCTGCGATGGTCCGAAGATGCTCACGATATTGATGCCGCAGTGATTCCAACTCTTCTTTCTATTATCCATACAAGGCACATACACCATATTCATACACCATATTCAAACTCAAAAACGTGTCGTTCTCAAAGCAGTCCACGGACATTCACTCCAAAGTGAAACAACAAATTTGAAAGCCTAACACATAGCAATCAGCGGCAGTTCTAATGATTACCAGTCAGATTTGAAGAAGCCTGTAGCTAACCATTCTCCCCAAAAACAATACCGGTAGCCCAAAGCCTAACATGGGATTCGATGCTTCATAATTCTCATTCAAATACCTGTTGTTCTGAGAGACGGGACTGTCCAGTGAACTTTCGTGTCTTCGTCGTCAGGGCATCAAAGTCCTGCAGGAGAGTGTCGTGTTTGGATTTCTAAACAACGACATTGACAAAGACAAGGTCAGAACCTCATTAGTGTTGTTAAGTCCACAAAGAGAAGATAGAAATCTATTTTAGATCTATGGTTCAACAAAAATGCTTGCACATTAGTTCCACAACACATAGCAACATTCATGTTGACAGGAGAAAAACCACACGGTCCAATTGGCAGAATTTCAGTGTCTACTCCACAAATTGAAAAATCCGAATAGCGACAATGGCAGATGTTTCAGAGTGCTCGGCAAAGCACTGCTCATAAGTATAGGCTTCACGCCATAGCCACACCATAGCGTCCGTCGACTAACCAGTGATTTATAGTTCTCTGAATTCTGCTTGTTCTGGTCCTCCAGGCGTCGATGCTTAGCAATGAGTGCATTGTACTTCTTCATCAGGTCTTTGGACTTCTCCTCCAAAGGTTCATTGGACAGCTTGGCCTCCAGAAGTTGTTTTTCCTGGTGCACAAGGAAAGGTGCAAGCATGCAAACATGTATACGCACGTGCACACACACACACACACACACACACACACACACACACACACACACACACACACACACACACACACACACACACATACACACACACATCGCACCGCATTCATCAATGCCCATAATGACTCCGTACTACACGGCATTCCTTTGCCTGAGCACAGGAGTATGAACAGATAAACTACTAAAATCCCTGTTCAAGTGATCCTTACTGGCACAACGAAAATAAACCTCATGCAGGAAAGCTGGCATGTTATTTTCGGAGCCAGAAGTCTTCCATGGGTGTTTCAAGTCATAGTGTTGCTGAGAGATCATGAGGCAATAAGTGGTAGCAAAGCCTGGAGCTAAAGTTCATTGGAGAAGTTAAACATTCATGTACTTACCAGGCCCTTCTTCTCTGTTGTCATGGAGCTCAATCCCTCCTCCAAGCGCCGCGCTAGGATGCTAAGCTCTGAGTTACGCTGAATGAGCTGCTTCTCTCTCTCACCATACTGCTTCTTCTGCTGCTCAGCCGCATGGATGATGGAAGGCAGACAAGATATTTAGCAACATGTCAGCCAACGCATTACCCAGTGCGTGTGTGTGTGTGCATGTGTGTGTATATATATATATGTGTGCATGTGTGTGTGTGTGTGTGTGTATCTGCCTTGGGGGATAAAATGCTGCGGGCCTTCTACGCTTCCCAAGTTTTACGCCCGTACTATCATTATCGTCTGCCCCACTCCCCCCCCCCCCCCACTCCCCCACCCTTCCCCCACCATTCCCCCCACTCCCCTTCCCTTCCATGCTACACTCTTCTCTTTCACTTGTCAGTGTGACAGTCTCACCTCTTCCTCCTCCTCACCCCTCCCCCCCCCCCCCCCGCTACACCTTTCTTATTGCTTTGTGTGATTTTGGAAATCAGTGACCACTTGATCATAGCCAACTGTAAACCAGCCATTATTCTAACCAGGCGCATATTTAACGATTTCCCAAAATTGACTGGTTTACGTGTACCAAAGGTAACCATTCTCACTCATTCTCAACGCTCAATAGGACAGTATATGTATCGATTTCTGCATAATGATTTCTATTTTAACGACGGTTTTCTCCTCGTTAACTCGTTAGAGTTAGCACTTCGTTATATATAATATTATGGCTTTCACAGTATTCACAGTCGTCGGTATTCATTCATTTTGCACAACACACGAAAAGAAATTGAATGCTTCCATGTAACCTTTAAATTCAGAAGGAGACCAGGATTTCAGCGATTGTGAAGTACAAGCCTATTTTTTGGTGCGGTAACTTGAATCTCACAGAATCAGTCTTGTGACTACTTCCATTACACTGGTGAGTACATGTAAAGTTATGGCTGTCACCAAACTCTTCCTTAAGAACGGGCACAATTGCAAACATTCTCAGCCTCTTACCATTGGCGATGTCGCCGAATCAAAGCTGATATCTCCGATGCCAGCAATGGCTGCCCGCGGTGACATCCGTGCCCAGCTGTCGGCTTCCTTCACGCGAGACAAGTTCTCTTCGAGTGTCTCCTTCTCCATCTGCACCTGCGATTTCTTACGCTTGGCATCGACGAGCTCTTTCTCTTTGCGAGACAGTGCCTCCTGCTTTTCTAGTAGTTCGTCACGCTGCATGACACGTTTGAGAAGCAAGAACACCATGCTTGAATACATGCACAGGCTGAGTGTAACATGTTGGACTGCTGATGGCACGTTACAAGGCGGAGGACGCACTTGGTCAAAACAAAGAGCTCCTGACTACAACCATTAAGTGGTTGGTAGAGCCCCAGTGTTGCGACCATCCGAACAGTATGGACTAGAGCCTCGGTGTTGCGACCATCCGGGCCGTATGGGGTATAGACCCGGTCCGGACCCTCAGTATGCTAGGGAGCGGGGAATTGAAATAATATGTTACTTGTCCTGGAGGACTGGTGTCTGTTAGGTACTTTGTTCATTGTTGGATGTCCGTACTATGTAATGCCTCAGTGCGATGTACAGTAGCAGCAGCAGCACATAGATCACTGCGTGGGGCGATATCAGATTCTGTGTCATTCCATTGTACGAACCTACACTTATGTAATCATGTCCACCATTTTTATAGGTATGCTCTGTGCTCGTCACAGTGTTTTTCATCACATCATTTGCTACATTGCTGCAACCTATTCTTCGTGCACACGTGGACACACAAATACACACACACACACACACACACACACATGTACACACACACACGCATGCACTCACACACGTCCGTACAACCCCCCCCCCCCCCCCCAAACCCGCCTACTCCACCCCAGCCAGGCCAGAGAGCATGCAAACAGAACAGTAATACCTACCATTTTCCTATTCTCTTGTTGCGAAGCACGCTTCATTTTCGCCATCTCTGTCTGGTGCTCTTCATGCATGCGGCGGATATCATCCGCTTTGGACTTATCTGCTACCTGCAGCTCTTTCATACGCTGCTCAGCTCTTGTCTTGGCATCAGAGAGCTCAAACACCTCCTGCTGTAGTTTCTTTTTCTCCTGATCGAACTGTTGATGTGCCTCTTCACGCACTTTGCGCGATGTACTCTTCCGTACATTGTCTAGCTCTTCGGATTTCTCCCTTTCCCACTGCTGTTTCTGAGTACGAATCTTATCCTCACATTCCCGCACCACGCGACGTGCCTCAGTTTCGTACTCCCTCGCACAGGCCTCCTGCAGCGTCTGAAGCTGCTCCTTGTGCTCACGGCTGGTCTTCTGCTTCAGCTCTTCAGCTGCCTGCTTGCTACGCGCTGTCTCCTCGTCCCGTGCTCTCTTGACCGAGGTGACCTTCTCCCTCTCCAGTCGCTTGACGTTATTGCGTTCGGTCTCAGCTTCTGCCTTTAGGCGCATGATGTGTTCCCGCATCTCCTCGTTCGTCCGCCGCAAACTGGCGTTGGTCCAAGAAGACGGTCCATCTCCACCGGCCCCCGGCCCCAGCGACTCGTCCATTTCGCTTGCCATACGACCAGCTGGGCACGGAGATCAAGATTCAAGGCCGTGTGTACGGATGCATGTACGCAACCACCGGTACTGAAAGAAAACAAAACTAACTTTACGGCCTGTCCCAAGTCAGTGGGCATTGAGCATTGGAGTAGTGCTCGGGATGGAAGTCAAGTAACGTCTTGATGATCAGGCAAGCTGAACAAATAATTAATCCCCTGGTATTTCAATCACAAGCGCGTAGACGCGACTGGGGGACTGCAAGGCGGACCGGGCAACGAAGACAGGACCGCCCGACTGCACTAGCACTACTCACTAGTCTACAGGCTACAGCTGCAGTAGACCTACAGACTCAGTGCTATTTCAAGTCCTGAATTTCCTCTTTACTCGAGTAGACATGGTAGATCTAGTACCAAACCTCAGAGTGAAATGGAGAGTATCGTCCGTGCAATCACTGCAATTGCTAATCAGGATTGGTTGCAGTAGTAATACCAGAATGGCTCTCAGATCAGGAGGAGAACCGGCGCGTTCTCAGCTCAGCGATGCGCGAGATCTACGCATCTATCTGACGACGAGTAGGAGTAGGATCGATTTTGACACAGCTCGGCAGATCTACACTACATACAAAGTCTACAGCCTACACTACACAGTCTACAGTACAGCTAACCAGTTACCTTTTCATGGTCACCACGGTGATCATGGGGATCTGAACTAACTAATTACTTGCTATCTCGTCACTATCATGTCAGATCTGCTACATCTCGCGCTCATGTTGCAGTGCGAGTCGTTTACTCGTTTTGGTAGACCGTGTCCGTGGTAGCCATGGTCATGATGCGTCATGGTAGACCAGACTAAAAAAGACTAAAATTTAGTCTTGTTTTTAGCAGAGCGATCGATCATTATCATGCCTATCAGGCCAGGGATATTCAGGAGTATGCCCTCTGACTCTGAGCCTGAGGGCCTGAGGCTGAGGCTCTGTAAAAATCAGTCATCATCACGATCATGGTATTATCCGGCAGTACTACTATCCGGTAGTACTACTAGTCTACATGATGTGATGCCTTATACCCGTGGTTGTTTCTCCTCGTGTTGATTCAGTGAATCTTGAACCCCTGGACCCCTGTGTTGAACGCTCGTGTGAAGCTCGCAGCCTGAAGTGAAGGGGTTTAAAAGGGTGGTCAGTTACGTAACGCAGGTCTCACGTGCACCTATTCGGCTTCATGCTGATCATGATAGTAGCACTGAGCTGACAGCTAGCTAGGTACCCACCCACTTTTTTTATCGACAACTCAAGTCACTGTCAAGATGACTTCTGCTTGCCCTAGTCTAGATCGCCCTGTACTCAGGCTGTAGCTGTGCAGGCTGTACTGTTGCAGATATCTTCATCGTGAAAGCGTGCGTGCTAAAGCCAAGGCTAAACACACCGTATCATATCAGTGGGCATGAACCAGGGCGGCAGGAGTCAGGAAAGAATGGAGCAAGGTTCGTCATTGCAAGGAGTCATGAAAGTGGTGAGATTCAGAGAATTAAGAGCTTTACTTACCACGCATAGTGGAAAAGGTGTGACTACATGCAACGGAAAACTACAAAATTTGTAGTTTTCCGTAGTTTCAAGCTCTTTACCACGACCAATCATCATCATCAGGACTCAAGGATTTCACAAAGCAGTTTCAGTCCGGCTTTCTCATGAATCAGGTGAAGAACACGCGGCTACAAGAACCAACAGTACATAAACTCTTCTGGAGGCTTTTGCTCGAACCAAAGTAACGTATGCAATCAATATTATTAATAGCATCCAGGTTGGTAAGCATCACCACAATGTGATAAATAATGAAGAAATAGCATGCGCAAGGGAGGGAAAGATGTAAAGACTTTTTAATGTGAAAACCCTGACGCGGACAAAGTACAGAGCTTATATCCGCTCAGTGCAAACTACTTTGCAGGGTACACATCGTCCATCGCTTCACCAGTTTGTGAGACAAGCAAGAATTCGAAACGTATCACGGGAAATTCCGTCACTCACCACAGGGACTCAGCAGGCGGCTGACCCTTTGGCCAAAGCTACCGCATTAAACGCCCAGTTTGCCTCTGTGACTCGGCCAGATGACACGTTGCTCTCTATTCCCTCTATTCTCACTCCCTCGGAGCCCTCAGCTTGTTTCACGTCCGTCATCACCACAACTGCCACTGTCCGGCGTCATCTGAATAAGCTTCCGACGTGCAAGGCATCTGGTCCCGACGGCATCCCCAACCGGGTCCTCAAGGCCCTGGCACCATCCATAGCATTCCCTTAGGCTTTGTGCCATATTTTCAACATGTCATTTACCATGGGCATATTCCCTTCCGCATGGAAAACAGCGAAAGTCATACCTGTATACAAGAAAGGTTCCCGCCACGAACCTGCAAACTACCGCCCTATCTCTCTTCTCTTCCTATCTCTCTTCTTCCCTGCGTGTCCAAAGTATGTGAACGCATCTTTTATGATCACTTATACAGACATGTTTCGCCGTTTCTGAGTCCAGCACAATCTGGGTTTCGTAAAGGCGACTCCACCTCCCTTCAACTGACCCGCATCGTGCAGCAGGTGTGCCAGCATAGGGATAACAGAGCGCTTGCTGGTATTTGCTTCTTTGACTTGGCCAAGGCGTTTGATACCGTCTGGCATCGAGGACTTTTGGCAAAGCTCGAGCATGCATTCAGGGTACGTAAACAACCACTCTCCTGGCTGAAATCTTATCTCTCTGGGCGTTATCAGTACGTAACTGTGCTTGGCACATCCTCGGCTGCAGAGCCAGTAATAGGCGTTCCTCAAGAGTCAAGGATCAATTCTTGATCCCCTACTATTTATAATTTACGGAAACGACTTACCTGCAGTCTTCCCTGGTCCCTGTTTGCTGACGACACGACCCTTCTCACTTCATCAGCTTCCCTCACTGGCCTGAAAAACAACTTGCGTGCTGGCATTCAGGATGTTCTTTCCTGGATGTCGTCCTGGAGATTGTCCCCAAATCTATCAAAAACAAAGATCATGCTCTTCCCGCCCCAGCCAGAGTTCACAACCCTCATCCATGCCAACTTTCCAAATCCAAATGACATAGTGTCTTCTCACAAACACCTTGGCATTGTGATTGACTCTGCACTCTCTTGGGTACCCCACATCGAATATATCTGTAAAAAAATCAAGTAAATCCTCAGGAATTCTCTCCCCCCCCCCCCCCACTGCTCCTACCTCCCACTTTCTTGCAAGCTTCATTTTTATTTAGCCTACCTTCGCCCAATATTTGATTATGCCGATACGTCTTGGGTTGGATTATCCTCTTCCGCTGCTGCAAAGCTTGAAATACACCACAAGAAAATCCTTAAAATTCTCCTCCGTCAACCACGCATGCTCTCATCATCCGCCCTATATAAAATCGCTCACACAACCCCGTTATCACATGGACGCAGTGCACACCTGGCTTCTCTTGCCCCTTCTAATAAGCTTGAGTTGTGCCCACCTCATCTCATGTGTTTTAATTGGTTCTCTTCTCTAAGTACTAGAAACTCGCTCTTACTCCCTAAGTGTAACTCATCCGCTCTTTTGCGCTCCCCTCTCTTTATTGCTTTTTCTGTTTGGCTCACTCTACCCAGAGAAGTTAAGGATCTGACCTCACTCCGCCTGTGCCGCCCCTTATTTACTACGACATAAATAGCTCATTATCCACATGTCCTTTGCGTCTCTGTGTTTTTCACTGTTTTTATTTGACATTATCTTTCTTTACGGAGTTGTTGTTGCTGTTCATTTTGCTACTCTTTCTTTTTCCCTCCCCTAATTTTTATTTATCGCCGTGGTTGGCAATCACCCACTCTCTTAACATTATACTCATAAAAAGGACACACTTCAGGCTCATTACAAACATCTTAACATTGGCCGGTGTTTCCACCGAGTCTTGAGATGTTGTAATAAATATAAATATAATTCCAGAAAAATGTGCTTCGAGTAATGAGGCTGATATCAAGTGTTATCCGCTGGACAGCTGAACTACTAGTACTCTCGGCGCTCGAGATCGGTCGTTGCATGTTGCAGGGGGCAGTTTAGAACTGGTTGTTAACCTTCACACTACAAATGTAGGACCGTATTTCACCACTGCATGTTTTTTTTAATTTCGGCCAGTCGGCTACTATCATTTCGTTTTGCATGGGGGTTAGCCAAGGGGAAGTAGCCGTGCAGGGGTGTAAGCCCGCCTTTCGGCACCGGGAGTTGCAGCTCGCTCAGCATGGCTATTCCAAGTACTCCACCTACGATGTATGCGTGTGGATGATTGCGCCCCGAGCATGGCAAAATATGATTTTAAATCGGTCCCAAGTGAAAATTACGAGATACATAGAGAGAGAGAGAGAGAGAGAGAGAGAGAGAGAGAGAGAGAGAGAGAGAGAGAGAGAGAGAGAGAGAGAGAGAGAGAGAGAGAGAGAGAAACAGACAGACAGACAGAGACAGACAGAGACAGACAGAGACAGACAGACATAGAGAGAGAAACAGATTTTAAATCGGTCCCAAGTGAAAATTACGAGATACATAGAGAGGGAGAGAGAGAGAGAGAGAGAGAGAGAGAGAGAGAGAGAGAGAGCGAGAGAGAGAGAGAGAGAGAGAGAGAGAGAGAGAGAAACAGACAGACAGACAGAGACAGACAGAGACAGACAGACATAGAGAGAGAAACAGACAGACATACACAGATAGAGACAGAGAGAGACATACACCTGTACATAGACACAGGCAGAGAGACGGAGAGATAGTGATTGAGAGTGAGAGTGAGTGGGAGAGAGAAAAGATTGCGCAAGTGGGAGAGAGAGAGAGAGAAAGTAAGTGAGATAGACAGATGAAGAGAGAAGGTTGGGGAAGGGGGAGGAAGGAGAGGAGCAAGAAGATGAAAGAGGATAGAGACATGAAGAAAGTAGTGCAAGGTACAGAAACATTTGAAGAGTAATAGGGAACGGCATACAGCGGTGGTATGTTTTTTTTAAATAATTATACCTGAAGAAACAATGTATACATGAGGCCAAGAGTATTCGAGCAAATGAGTAGAAGGATAGGGTTGAAAATAGCATGAAATATAAGGTACAAACGTATTGAAATTGCCGTTTCGGTGGAGTTGAGATAGTAGAGGAACAGGTGATTCGTCAGAATCGTCTATTGTGACTTGGATTAGGAAAGGGAACATAATCAGTAGAAAACTGGGGTATGACGTGAAGGAGACATGAAACCATGTACGGGGCGGTATTAGTATTATGCCATTACTTTATGAAGTGCTTTGCGATTCTTCTTATCCACAATTGTCACATCTGTTACAAGCATTATACATGGTATTCGTCTAGATAAGCCTCGGTTGGTTGAAAACATGTTGTTTGGTTGAAAACATGTTACAAGGCGGAGGACGCACTGTGTTCGAAAACAGTGCTCCTTACTACAACCAGTTACCTGCACGTTTGCAGAGCACCGGTCTTGCGACCATTTGAACCCCCTGGTTGTGACCCTCATTATACTAGGGAGTTGTAGCGTCTTCTTGTTGTGTTTTATACTGTCAGTGCTAAACGTGGAGGTCACAAGTTGTAGTAAGGAGCACTGCTTTCGAACACAGTGCGTCCTCCGCCTTGGAACATGCTGCCAACCAAACAAGAATTATAATACTTGTAGTGCATTCAAACCGCCATTATTTGCAGAAAAAACGAACAGTGCCAAAAGCATTATTAGCAAAATACACTAGCATTACATGTAGCCACCGATGTCTATCAGCAATATACAATGCCAGTTATGCATCACTAGTTAGTTGTCAGGAAAGAAGAATGCAGAAACTACTTCGAAGTACATTGTATCCAATTGGCTTCCTCTGCGCGTTGATATCCGGGCACATGTGATAACGGTATTTTGGGGTGGCATCATGGCCAGACGCTCCAACTCCTGTAGGCTCTGGATCGATGCGGACAAATCAGTCTGACTACATAAAGGCTATTATAAAGTAACTCTGTACGCGAACCCTGAAATATTCTCGTGTAGGAAAGGGAATCTGTTGTTGTTGTTGTTGTTGTTGTTGTTGTTGTTGTTGTTGTTGTTGTTGTTGTTGTTGTTGTTGTTGTTGTTGTTGTTGTTGTTGTTGTTGTGTATCGTGTGATGGTGTTTATAGTGGGAATCAAAACAGGCATACACGTTAGCCTGATAACAATGGACCCACAGGGGTCCCCGGGAATATAAAACCCCGTAAGTGAAGGTGCGGAAAAGTAGAAAATAGATAAGAAAGTAATAATTATAACACCTGGTAGGCGCCATCGAGCCGAGCACAAGCTATTACCCAACAGCTATATAAATAATTTTAAATTATATTAATTTCGGCCAGTCGGCTACTACTTATCATTAAGTTTTCGTCTTGGGGGTTTAGTAATAGACAAGGGGAAGTAGCCATGTAGGGGCATTAGCCCGCCTTTCGGCACCGGGAGTTGCAGCTCGCTCGACTCTACTCTACTGAGTGAAGAGAACCCACACCTTGGCTTGATCTGGTGAGCTGCGTCGTGAGGATTTTTGCAGTCAGAGATGTGCGACTGCGGCTCAATATGGTGCTTGCTTGCTTTGCGTTGTCGAATTGTGGTTTGACCGTTCTGTCTGGTCTTTCCGTCCCGTTATCATACCAGGCCAGCATTTCATGAAGCCTTGGAATGTAGCTTGTGCTTGGCTCGATGGCGCTTACCTCCCCCTCTTTGGAATTCGCACTAATATCCATGAACCTTCCAAGTAACAATAGTCAATAGTTGGAAGGCCGTTGGTTAGCGCTATAGTATAGTAGACTAGTGCTCAAGCTGACTTTCATGCCGTGTAATGTCTCAGCACTCCTTGCCAGTTTTCGTGCTAGATTGTGCACGTCTGACTGTTCCCAGTCTGGTTTAGTTGGTGGACTCGATCGATCGCATACTAGTAGCTTGTGCCCACATTTTTCGATGTGACATTTTTTTATGATTAATTGATTGTATTTTTTAAGAACTTTGAAACTCCACTGTAGCCTAATTACCAAACAACGTGCACGGTTACAAGTACTAGTACTAGTAGTAGTAGATCTACCATCAACAGTACTCTTCGTACCATGACTTTGTGATGATGGACTGGATTGCCATGAGCAGTTACTGTTTTATGAATCCCACAGTGACATGTAATGCACATGTCACTGTAGATCTACATGTTTCTGCATGGAGCACATGCATCTTCTGTGACAGGCTTGTCATAAACTGAATTTTTCAGAATTTTGTTTGCCATCGAAATGGACGTCGTGATCGATAGCTCCCTAGCCCTGGCCTTGTCAAGTACATTTATAATTTTTTTATGTAGGCTAGCGCCGGTACCGCGATCATCAAAACGGGCACGCACACGTACACGCGACCCTTTTTCCGTTCCGGTTTACTACCACAACACAGGCGCCATGCGCTTGTCATCGATATTTTGCGGCCAGCACAAATAAATACAATGCTGTCATACGTGCATGAGCCCACCATGGCCAATATGGCGATGCATTCATCGTACGCTACACAAACACCGATCCGGAGGCGAAGGGCTTACTTTAGTTAGTTGTTATCTGGTTATGCCAGCGAAGCGCAAGAAGTACAGCTCCAGCAGGTGAATAACAGATCTACTACTACAGTACTATGTTTACATGGTTTATGTACTAGTAGTAGTACTAGTATCGCTGAGGTTAGGATCTACTGTAGTGTAGCAGGAGCTGGACCTACCGGTAGTGAAAATATTTAATTGCGGACTGCTACTGTCCTTGTTGGAATGCATGCACTGAGTCTGTTGGAAGTCGCTAGACCATGTACTGCTACTGCGCACTTACACAATGTCTTTCACGTGAGAATGCGAAGACATCTCTCATCGGAGACATGATGTTGAACTGATACTCAGTCTCAGTTGAGTTGAGGCTGACCATTGCCTCCATTACATCATCGTGACCAGTCCGTACCACGGCCGTACCGTGGCCATGGCATCCATGCCATGGCGCGGCATGGGTATGAAAGACTACAAAAGTCCACTTGCAGTAGTCACTAGACTAGCAACATCAGTAGCAGTATACTATAGCACTCAAACTCAGTACAAATGCACCCTGTCTCACTATGAATCATTATGCGGCAGTGTCTGCCCCTGCCGCAGTGCCGGCCCTGGACTGGTGCATCTCTAGGCTAGCTACCGCGCGTGTACCGCCGGATAGCGGACGCTTCTACTGAAACCGGTTTTGTAGATCTACTGAGTGATTGGATGTAGTCCTGGCTACCCCGTGAAAACTGACCTTCGGTCCAGTCCAGGTTGTAACCTGGTTACGTTACCTGGTTACGTCCGAGCCAAAGCCAGGCCCAGACCAGGCCAGGCAAGGCCGCCAAGTGTCAAGACCAAGGCAAGGGACCGGGGAAAGCGACTAAGCGTCGGAAGATCCGCGCCTCTGCCTCCGGTCATGTGCTGGCTCGATCGAGAAGGAGTTCAAAGCTACGAGTACGAGAAATATTCAGTCGGCCGATAACCATGATAACCAGATAACCATGATCTACGCCATGATATGAAACACGATGATTCGGCGTAGATCTACGCGTAGGCATTGGCGATCGATAGCTGAATTCGGAATGTAGGATGCTTCACTCTTCAGTACGACTGTAGATCTACTAATGGTAATCAGTTATCTGACTGTGATTAGCAGATTAGCAGATAGGAGTGAAACCGAAGCAACTCCTATCCGGAGACAGATCGAAGTTAGTTAGTTTTCGCGTCCTGAAAGCACCTGGCTGCCACGCAGGTTGAGATGGAGAGCCAGACTTCACCATGCTCACTGGACAACGACCCAGTCAATGCCAGTCCCAGCGAGGGGGAAGGAGAGATTCGAAGGGAAGCAGAGTTCGACCAACCTTGTCCTTCTTCTGGCTCCGAAATAATACCCGAGGAAACGACCGTTCCCGGGTCGAGTTTCAATGCGGATGATTTCCTCACGCGCCTAATCCGAACCAGCACCAACGCAGACGAGTCGGAGAGATCATCAAGTAGTGGCGACATCGTGGATGATCGTTTTGCAATCGCTAGTGAGGGTAGAACCACCGCGGATCTCGCGATTCAGTGGCGGTTGCTGCAGCAAGTCTGTGCCGAGCTGAAAACTTCAGGCAGGCATGTGGAGGACATAGAAGCCTTGGCAAGACGGCTGAAGGAACGAGACGACATCGATCAGGATGGTCGAATGGCGGCTATTATCTCCGCAGAGCTGGCTCTGGACCGGAGCGACATAGAAGCCGTGGTCAACATCTGTGAGGTAAAGCTGGACGTTGTTCCCTGTGCCTGTGGCTCCTCTGCATGGCCTTGCACAAAATAATTTAGATTTCCCTTCCCTTTCGCGAAGTTTCGGAGTGCATTCCCACTCACCAACAGTGAGCTATAATTTCAAGTACAAGACCAGCAGCTGGCAAATTGAAATCTGTAGTGTATTCGCTCGGAAAATATGGCGGGTATTCCGTGCCACTCGATGTTCTGCAGACAGACGAGCCAACTCTTCCTGCGAACGACCGTATACGAGTAGGGGAAAAAAGGAGAACATCGTTACAAACTTGGTCTGATGTGGTGGTCATTGCTTTCTCGGATTGGCACTGTCTTGTTTGTGTAGAAACTGGAAGCAGCCACTCTTCAAGACGAGGAGGGCTTCAATAAGATGCTGAACGATCGACTTTGCTGTTTGTGGGAAGCTGCCCACTACCAAGCGGAAAGGGAGCGTCTTGGAAGACCGCTGTCGGCTCTAGCTCGCTTCAGGAGCCGCAAACGGTATGTTTATGCACAGCCTTGTACTTCGTACTTATCAGAACAATAGAGAGATTAGAGATGCGCTCGGCCTGAACGCGATCGTGTGTTTCTGCATGGGCACTCAGAGATCCAGACATCACACAGGTTGCATATTCGGTGGTAAGAAAGGAAGAACTTCGAGGCATGTGCGCGTGCAGGCGAACCTCCACAAACCTACAAGGCTACATGATTGTAGTAATAGTAATAAAATCATCAAAAGGTGCGCGATCGCGAAATATTTTTCTGGACAATGACAATGAAATGCGGGAAGAGCGCAAAAGATTCACAGCCACAGGCATGGCGCGAGTGAGGAGTCAGATGAGTGGTTTCAGGTGCCGCAACGTATGTGGCGGAACCTTGCTAGGATTTCACCCCGTAGATCTACACATGTCCACCCCGTGCGCATAATGTGAACCTTAGCTTCTCTAATTGATTGCCAGAACAATAATATTGTATATTTATATGATTAGAACATGCCGTCAAAACAGCTCGCCCAATATTGTCCGTGTAAGACTGTATTCCTAATCGCACTTCCATCAACATTGTATGAGTGCGATGTAATACATAGGGATGTGTGAGGAAAGTTCACTCAAAGCGCCACTTTGTTCTTATAAAAGTGCGAATGAAGACGAAACCTTCAGAACCGTTCCTGGTTCAGGACACTGAGTCGCATGGTTTTGGTCTGAGGAGGATTACAGCAGTCAGCCCTTATTCCCATCGATTCAGTGTCCTGAAGACTACATGTCCGAAGAGTTACATCTTCGTCGCAGCTTCTATCAGAATGTGACACTTTAAGAGAGCATGTCTGAGAAAACCAGAACATATGTGCAAGTCGATCTCTCAGATTTCGCTCAAATTTTGCAGGTAGGTTTGCTTTGGGGTGTAGATCGACATTCCAAAGCCCGCACAAAATCTTTTGAAGGGAACCATGAAATTGGCATACCCCTCAATATTGGCCCAATATTGGCACGATTTATGGGTCTACAAACGAGCCACGGCACAGCGTACAAGAACAAGCTACGAACAAAACTCCATCAAGCCAACATTACCTCACCTTAGAAGAGTTCTTGGGGCAGCACCACTTAGCCACGCCAGCATCCCAGAAGACGAGGGAAATCATCCCTTGACGCCACAAATGATCGTCTTGAAAATAGCCAAATTACAAGCGCTGATAAAACAGCGAGCTACGTCCTCAATCAGCAAACACTATACACCGGCAGATAGTAGAACACCTCTTCTAGCACTGAGGACATGTCCCCCATCATCCTTTTGGGGTTTTCTTGAAATAAACAATTTTGAATTTTTCCACTCGACCATTCTGAAATACGTCCAAACTCATACCTGCGCAGGAAAGCTCGCCCCTCCGCGACGTCTAGTCAGCAATTTCTACTCCAACACCACTCCCAACGCTGCAGAACAAAGTTTATTGTTGACTCTGACAAGGAAAAGCAGCGGTGATCACTTGTCACTCCAAACGACAAGCTTCTCCTTCCGCCACCAACATTTTTCGTTGCAACAGTTGATGCAAAAGTGACTGAATTTTTGCGTGTAGTTTTTGGATTTTACTGCAAGAGGAATGAAGAAATCACGTGGATCGTGACGTAGAATAATGCTTTCTGGTACACGACACAATGCACACGATCACGATCGTTCCTGAGGCGCTATTCGAAACGGACCATGAGGGAGGAGGTAAGACGCATTATATTTCTTGCATGCTCTGCTCAGAACATGCAGAAACTATCGTTATAACGCTAGCAGTATTGCATTGGCAAGAATTATTGGAGATATTTCCTCTTGCAGTAAGAACAGGGATGCATTTTTTCACACTAACCTCGCTCATCCCGAACATGCCATGGTTCAACAGGAACTACGGCTGGTTTACATGCTGATGATCCACGTAGATCTGCAACAGCAAGGAATGAGCGTGGTCCATGCCATCAAGGTCGGTTGGAGTTGACCAGCGCGCGGCCAACACTGCACTGGTTGCATGAAGTATGTGGCGCGCCCACGGCCACATGGCAGATTTCTTACGTCATGAACAACGTGATTTGACCCTACTCGCCATAGTCTCTGTGCTGCATGTTGAGGGAAAGTCCCAGCTGGAAGGCCTACAACACGACATGCGTGCTCTTGAGCTGGACATCAAGATGCACTTGATCCGATCTAGATCGACGGGTGATCCATGTAAGTGCAGGGGCGCTTGATCAAGGTGACTCGGAACAACTGCTGAACCGTGATCTACGAGACCTGGCATTCTTGTGTCACGAGGCACGTGATTTCATCATTCCTCTTGCAGTAAAATCCAAAAACTACACGCAAAAATTCAGTCACTTCTGCATCAACTGTTGCAACGAAAAATGTTGGTGGCGGAAGGAGAAGCTTGTCGTTTGGAGTGACAAGTGATCACCGCTGCTTTTCCTTGTCAGAGTCAACAATACACTTTGTTCTGCAGCGTTGGGAGTGGTGTTGGAGTAGAAATTGCTGACTAGACGTCGCGGAGGGGCGAGCTTTCCTGCGCAGGTATGAGTTTGGACGTATTTCAGAATGGTCGAGTGGAAAAATTCAAAATTGTTTATTTCAAGAAAACCCCAAAAGGATGATGGGGGACATGTCCTCAGTGCTAGAAGAGGTGTTCTACTATCTGCCGGTGTATAGTGTTTGCTAATTGAGGACGTAGCTCGCTGTTTTATCAGCGCTTGTAATTTGGCTATTTTCAAGACGATCATTTGTGGCGTCAAGGGATGATTTTCCTCGTCTTCTGGGATGCTGGCGTGGCTAAGTGGTGCTGCCCCAAGAACTCTTCTAAGGTGAGGTAATGATGGCTTGATGGAGTTTTGTTCGTAGCTTGTTCTTGTACGCTGTGCCGTGGCTCGTTTGTAGACCCATAAATCGTGCCAATATTGGGCCAATATTGAGGGGTATGCCAATTTCATGGTTCCCTTCAAAAGATTTTGTGCGGGCTTTGGAATGTCGATCTACACCCCAAAGCAAACCTACCTGCAAAATTTGAGCGAAATCTGAGAGATCGACTTGCACATATGTTCTGGTTTTCTCAGACATGCTCTCTTAAGTGAAATGTTCCGCACTAATCCCTACTCTGTATCTAGTAGGGTGCACTCACCCATGTTCAGTGGAAGTACATGAGTTCGATTGGAAATTTAGGACGAGGGAAATGCTTCTGCCTCCTTGGAATAGCACCATTTGACACAGTCTCATAGGAGTGCAAGTTGTCGAACTTTGTATTTAGGCCGTACTTGCCTTTGCACTATAGAAAGCTACCGACAACCAACAGACTGGATCAGCATTCCACATGAGATGAACGCATTCTCTAACAGGGGCGTAGCAGCCGGTCTGGCCGGTCAGGCTTTGGCCGGACCACTTTTTTTTAACACAATGCCCAAACTGGCCAAAGTGCCCAGAATGCAGGATTTTGCACGCCATTTTCAAAATATTTCTCGGGGAACACCGTAATGAAATGTGTACGAAGGTGTATACAACAATCATTGTGTGTATAAAGTTGTACAGACACAGCAAGATTTAGCAGTTCCACTGTGAGGTTGCTAACGCCTTCAATGGCCATCCGAAGGAGATATCGATCTCTGGACGACGCTCCAGAATCTCGATGGACTCTCTGATCTTTCTCCTGGCCATCGGTGTTATTTTTGCATCTGTTGAAGTAATTGGTGTGAAATCAAGTGGTGTCAGAGGCGAACAGGAAGTTACTTCTTTGTGAAGAACTAGCCGGCCCAGGGTTGTTTCTTGAGTTCTACTTGTAGTATTAGTTGTCCAAAATACCTCCATTGTGAGGATAGATATGCTGAGGTTGTGTGTCAGGAGCCTTGGTTGCACAGGCACGATAGGGTGCATTTCTCACAGTAGGAGTACACAGGACGTCCGCTGCAACCAACTATGCAGTGTGTACTTGTAAAGCGCGCTGAGTCTTTTGATACCCCACTCGCATACAGTACATGCAGCATTGGCCATAGTATTACATCGCTTTATATAGTGATAAAATGCTCAAAACCAAAGACCAACGCTATAGTCCATACGTGCTGTAGTCTGCAGCGGCTTCCTTCAGAGTGGAGCGGTAACGTTACATCCGCCAGTAGTGGATGGCCTGGTGGGTGCTGAGGTCGGGCAATGCTCTTACAGAAGCAATCACACACACATACATGCAACATAAGCACACACCCCCCCCCCCCCTTCCCCGAGCATTATGTTGAGGTCAGGGAGTAGTAAAATACATGTATTTTACTACTCCTTGGTTGAGGCATTTGATGGGTTGATAAGGATTGGTGATCTTTTCCCAGTTTCAGTCTCCAACCCTTCCAGTATGGACCAGAAGTACATAGAGTGTGTTCCATTTTAACAGAGTGACCTGTCTCCTGTCTTCTGTCTTCTTCCAACACCAAACACTGTGTTTAGATATCCAGTTCCAGCTACTATTTCCCCAGAGAAACGTTCCCTGGCCAAGACATTGCCCCCGACAGCAACGATATTCCTAAAAGATTGGTACAGGAAAAATCGCACTGCCAATATATACCCGACCCTCATCCAGAAGAAGTACCTTGCTAAGAAAACTGGACTGACTTTGAATCAGGTGAAGACGTGGCTTGCCAATGCTCGTCGAAGATCAGCTCCGGCCAATAAGCTGGCCGTGAACGAACCTCACGTTAGCACTATCTCTCCACACTCGTTTAGATATTCGCCTACACTGCTATCTGGTGTGTATCAGCCTATCAGCAGTACGCGCCTGGAGACCCGCCCGCAACCGTAAGCCAGTTGTGAAACTGTGCATGTGTGTGTGTGTGTGTGTGTGTGTGTGTGTGTGTGTGTGTGTGTATGTGTGTGTGTGTGTGTGTGTGTGTGTGTGTGTGTGTGTGTGTGTATGTGTGTGTGTGTGTGTGTGTGTGTGTGTGTGTGTGTGTGTGTGTGTGTGTGTGTGTGTGTAGGGGGGGGTATGTGTGTGTGTGTGTGTGTGTGTGTGTGTGTGTGTAGGGGGGGGGTATGTGTGTGTGTGTGTGTGTGTGTAGAGGGGGGGGGGTACGTGTGTGTGTGTGTGTGTGTGTGTGTGTGTGTGTGTGTGTGTGTGCATATGTGCGTGTGTGAGTAGGCGACTATTCATTTCTGTGTGTGCTGTGTCTATGAGTCAAAAAGGAGCACACGGTACATGTACTATCTGCAGATTGAGATTGTATGGATGAGAGACTTAGGTCGTCCATAGGGAATGCATGTCGTTCAAGTGCACTGATATTGTGCAGCTCGCCTTGCTTACTCAGTTACTGTTCAGTGCAAGGGTAAGACGTGGACGCATGCTTGGTGCCATGGTGGTAGGAGTTCCGATGTATACAGCTACAGTTAGCTGGTGCAATTGGACGCACTCTTTAGAGCAATCCATTATTAGTTCATTATCTGTGGTGAAGAGTCGAGACGCGGTGAAGACATCACGAAGTTCAACACACAAAGGCAAACACCAGTGTTCGTGTACTGCATTACTTTTTACGTGGCATAGATGTACCCATTGTGTGTTGTGTTCTGTGCCCTTGCTCCCATGTGCATGACAGCGTTCAAGTACAGAGTGGGCAGCCAACGGTGCTGTTCCATCCACAACCGAATCCTAACCTTACGCTGACCACTCCTGCGGTATTTTACCCAGCCACCAAGAGATCATGGCCAGTGGTGACTCAGTCATCGCTCGGGACTGACCAGCCGCATCCCATCCACACTGGTAGCGGTAGCAGTGTCACAGATTATGGTATGAGAGCGCGGCGCTCACCGATTGTATTCAGACCTGCAGAGACTGAAGAGTACCGCCCGCCACTCTACACTGCTGAGCCAAATCTGTTCATGCGCTGTGAGAAGCCGGCCAGTGAGTTTGCACTGCCTCCACCGCCGCTGCCGCCATCAGTCCATCCCGCCGCCGCCCAGAGTTCAGTTTCAGTGCAGGATGACACCGCTGTGGGTGTGCGTGCTCCAAGTCGGCCCATTTCAGCTTCTAATCCAGGAGCAGTCTTGTACCAGTACATGCATAGCCAGCAGCTGCAGCAGCATCAATATCACCTGGGCTGCTCCAGCACAGTGACGCCTACCGTCCCAACCACCCACTTGCCCGCAGCAATGGAGCCAACACCGGCACTGGATTACAACACACAGCCGCAACATTGCTTGGCCATGTCCTTCCGTGTCATGCCGCCAGCTGAGGAGAAGGAGTATTGTCCAGAGCCGTATCCCATCGTCACCGCTTCGTCGCTGTATGTGCCTGACCCCTACAGCCCAACAGTGGGACCAGCAACACCCGCACCAGCGCTAACAACACCACGAACACCAGTCCTCTCTCATGAAGTCTCTGCTGTCACAAACACAGTCAACAGCCCAAGCTCGATGAATGCGTCATCATTCAACTCACCCTCAAGTATTCACTCAGCACGGTTGCCAATGAGACCGCTAGTGAGTGACCGGCAGGACCTGTATGAGGGTAGTAGCCCCTATCCGATTACTATGCAGGCTGGTAAGTAGACGGACCCCATAGGCAACCACACCGGCTCACCACTTGTTTAGCCACCACTTTGCCCTGGAAAAGCAGGCCAGAGCTATTCTGTCCAACACCTTGTCTGCTATTTGTGGTGCTGGCATTGTATGCAAATCCACGTACGAAGTGATTGTGCCATTCGTTGTTTGTCACGTACCGGTACCTAGACAACTTGAGTCATCCGCACTTGCAGGACTGGCCGCTTGTCACGGATATGGGTCAATAATAGTAACTAAATGCGAACAAGGCCAGCAAAGCAAGGGTCATTAGCCCAGGTTTTCTTGGGCGCATTTTGCAAGCTTTTACAACGACCCGGATGATTTCTACACACTCCTGATACTCATTGTTTTTTTTAACTTGGCTGAATCTTTTCTTGTGTCTATTGCTTTTCAGAATCTCCGAACCCTGGGTGCTCTCCCTGCAAAGATTGTGTGACTGGACGGCAGCCGGGTAGTGCAGCCTGTCGCCGGCTTTTCGTGACCGAGCAGAACAGATCAAGGTAACTTTGTGGACCACAAGCATGGCAGAGGGGATACACTCATGTATTCATGCATGGGTGAATTTAAAATAATGTTCAATGTACATGTACATGAACAGTGCCAGGTCTACACTGTACACAAATACATGCAATGCACGTACAATGTTTTTTTTTGGATGGCTTTTTATTTTTTTCGCCCTCCCTCATTGATTTCATCGAACAAGGTGACGCGAAACATAGAAAAAAACGGCGTGGCCTTATAAAAAAAAATAAAAAAAGTAAATTGTCGTGTCCGTTCCCGAAGGGAACTCACGACGGCCGCTAACACCCGATAAACCCTAGCGTCCTTGCTTATAAGTCACACATTAAAAAGCTTGGTGTAAAAAAGGTGGAAATACCTGTACTGTAGATAACGGCATGTTAACTGTTTACAGGCAGCACTTGCAAGATGCATTGCTCTCTGTCCTTGAATCAGGACTTAACCGGACACACCGCGGCACTCAGCCCCCCCCCCCCCACACACACACACAAGCACCGCCTTTGTTCTGAAGCCCCTCTCTCCGAAGACTTGTGTGCTGCATTAGAGAACAATTGTTTGAGAGCAAGATGTGTACCCTATCGTTGTATTTAGGTTTTGTGTATGTTCAGGAACCATAGGGGAACATAATATTGGGGAGCCATTTTTTTGTATTGTATTTTATTATTTTACTTGGACATTCCCAACAGACCCTAAGGTCTTCTTACAGGGTGCCCAAGATGAATGAAATTGTTAAGTTCCTGGCGAAATGAATTGGGGATATGATTTGTGCGAAGGGATTCGGGAAGCGCATTAACCCTTTACCGTTTTAGGTATTTGTACAGCAAAAACCGACCGTCACTGTTCATGCCGTAACTTTTTTATTTTTCACTTTTATTATGTACAAAATGGGGTGATTCTGAAAGTAAAAACCCTCAGGAATGCGATGCAACAACTTTCAAGTCCAGAAAACGAACACAGATTTCACTATTTTAGCACTAATAATTATTTGGATGTATTGCCGATCGGGCAAACTGTTGCAATATGCAATAAATCAGATCCTTGCACTGGAGTGGCTCTCTCAGGTAAGTGGATACCCGGTTCGTTCTCTGGGTGGAATGCAGGAGTGTTACCAGTCACAGCGGTGTCAGCATTGTCCCAAGTATTGCAAATATCGACTAGTGCAGATTGCACCGCTGGCTATACATAGTACCTGTACACCACGACCTCTACCGTGACGACGGCCTATTCCAAGGCCGAATCCTCTCTCTCTGCCACGTCCCCTTCCACCATTAGTGGCACTCATCTCAGCGACACTGTCGTCGTCTGTGACATCCATGGCACTCTTACTGGCGCTGCTTTCACTCGCCATGTCATCGTCGCGGTCGTTGTCAGAATAAATATTTTCAACAGGATTGTCTGGCTCCACAAACTCATCTTCGCTGGATGAGGCAGCGACAGAGTCGTCAGGAAGGGTCTCCAGAAGCGAAAGAGCTTGCTCCGCGTCCATGGCTTGCACAGCAGGGCAGACAGTCGTGAGGCCAGCTCAAGCAAAGTCGAAATAATCTGCAGGCAGTACCAAAAGTCGGAGGGTACGCACTTTTCCCCAAGCGCATTTTTCAAGTCGCGATTTTCGCGATTTTTTATATTGCATCACACAAAAAAATTGTCGGCACCCTCTGCGCGTACATCTTGGCTACCAGTAGGGAAAATCCCAGCTCTCTGCGGTGAACCAGTCCAGCGCTGTGCGCATAGAAGTCATCGACCGCGAGCGGTCGAAATTTGTACGTACAAACGGTAAAGGGTTAAAGCGGTCAGCACCAAGAAATGAAATAGATCTGTATCCAGATTGAGCTTGCACAATGGGTAAGGAAAGGGAATAATTGGCTTGGCCGCTGGTTACTCTATCTTTGTGAGCGCAGTCACGGCAAAGGGAGAACATGTCAGAGAGGAGTGAACTGCAGATATTGTGGATGCAACGGAACACGAAGAATATGGACTTAGTATGATATCTTTTGTCTAAGCTAAGTATGTGGTATCGCTCAAGCAAGTATGATGTCCGCGTGAATGTGTCATGCTCAAATATGCATCTAAGTGCTCTCTTACTTATGCGTAGCAGCTGATCTCTCACTTTGTCAGTGAGGCAGTGGACGTAGGCAGTGCTGGCGTACTCGAGCTTGCTCTGGACTACTGACAAGTAGAACTGCCTTCTGGCCTGGACAGCAAGGTTCCTCCTTCCACGTCGAAAAGCACCTAGTTTCTTTCCGATGTCTTCCCTGAGGGAGTTAACGGTCGAACCACAGACAATGCTCAGGTTAGGTGGAGGATGTGAGCGTCTGCTGTGGATCAGTAGTACTTGGCCCTTGCTGGAGTTCAGAAGCAGGCCGCGATCTGTGAGGTGCTGCTTCACCACTGAAAAATCATTTTCTAAGTAAGACATGAGAGTTCGTGGACACTTTCCAGAGGCATACAGGGTGGTGTCGTCTGCATAAAGAAGGCATTGTGAACGCAATGGCAGAGTGGGGACAAGTCGAGTGTAGATGCTGAAGAGGGTAGCGCCTAGGACGGAACCCTGGAGAACACCCCTAGTGCAGGTTCTACAGTCACTTGTGGTACCGTTCACTTCTACGCGTTGCTGTCGGTGAGACAGATACGACTTGAACCACTCAAGAGCATTTTCACGGATCTTCAGATTGTGAAGGTCATCTATTAGCGTTTGGTGGTGGACGCGGTCAAAGGCTTTGCTCATATCGAGCAGCAGTACGGCCGTATATTCTCCGGTATCCATGCTTCTCTGCCAGTTATTGATGGCAAGTGTTAAAAGGTCCTCAGTACTGTGGTTCCGCCTGTATGCAAACTGTTCATTTGGAATTGCTCCGGGTGTGATGTCCAGATGGTCGTGAAGCTGCTGGAGCACTAGCGATTCCAAGACTTTGGAGATAATGGGCAGTAGCGAGACTGGGCGATAGTTGGAACTGTCGTAGGGGTCGCCTTTCTTAAACACAGGACACACAGACGCTAGTTTGTAAGCTGACGGTACCTTTCCGCTAGACAATGACTGGTTGAAGATGGAAGTTAAGGAATTGGCCAGCTCGGCGGCATGGTGTTTCAAGATGTAAGCTGGTATGCCGTCTGATCCAGATGCTTTCGTGGTATTCAATCGTTCGAGAATCTTCGTTACTGCTGCTGTTGTAACGGGTTGGAACTCGAGAAGGCAGTTGTCTAAACAGTCGTCCACCGGAGTGTCTGGGGTGGTAAGAGCAGCGCGGTGTTCATCATGGACGATATTGCCTACGGTATCTGACAAAGATGAGAGGGAGGCTTTCGGTGTGGGGTGGGATTTTCTCCTTCCAGTTAGTTGATTCAGCACTGCCCATTGGAGTCTAGGATTTCCTGTAGCAGCACTGAACTTATCTTTGTAGTACACACTTTTCAGTTGCCATGAAGACAGTTCAATCTTCTCGAACTAGCAGATATTCTTATAATACTCGCCTACAGGCTCTGCAATTTTCTTATTGCGCCAAAACCAAAATACGTTTGTTTCTGGTCCGCAACCCTTTAAAAAACAGATGTGGTCGGAAGACAATTCACTGGTTCTTAATCAATAACATTGTTACTGACGGACAAAAGCAATGCAGACATACATGTTGTATGTACTCGATGTACAATTTCCACATGGTTTGGATCAATGTCACAGTTGACTGACTATGCGGCGGTACTCATACACAGTGTGTACATTGTACTCCTGCTAGTCACAGCATTCATGTCTACTGGATGTATGTACGCTGTTAATGTGCATGCACGATGCAAACAAGTGGTTTTTCCAGCTGCCTGCAGGTTCACGCATGCACCAATCGTACACATAATGTAGACCAAACAAAAGTCTCAGAATTTGCAAAAATAATGACCTGGTCGGCCAGCCCAGAATAAGGTTAATTTTTGTTTTGGCCCATATGTACATCTAGACTCGTCACAATGGTCTTGTTGTGGATCAGCATGAGACAGTAGGGAGGTTTAGTCCCACGTAATCCATGCGTACTTTACGTGGATGTACCACGTGATACTCAGTGACCCACGTACCACCGTTTTCTGATTCACGACATACGGAAAAGTATACTTTGTTGGCAATATTGATGACAGTTGCGACGCAGACTCCATAACGTCCCACTGTGTCCAGAATGGCATCACACCCACAGCTTGCCGCACCTTTCCTTCTCGCAAGCATGTAGGCACAAAAGCTGCAAGGCTTACAGTCCGTGAAGACCAATGTGCAGCCATCGAGGCAGATGGGTTTTGGCCAGCGCCCATTCAGGTTCGGCCATGGGACTTCAGCGAGGCAAATAGGCCCACAGCCACCAACTAATCGACCGTGTTCCCACTCAATCCCCATGCACCAGTCTTCTTACCTCGCATCTACCGTGCCCAACCCTGCTCAACAGCAGCCACGACCTTGTTCCCACTCAACCCCCATGCACCAGTCTTCATACCTTGCACCTATCGTACCCAACCCCGCTCAACAGCAGCCACGACCGTGTTCCCACTCAATCCCCATGCACCAGTTTTCATGCCTCGCACCTATCGTGCCCAACCCCACTCAACGTTTGTAAGAGAACAACCTCCACCTGATACCACACCAGTAAACGCATCCCCCCACAACAATAACAATAATTCTTGCATTCGGATATGTACCCTGAACTGTCGTAGTATGAAACATAAATTGGCTGATATTACAGACCTCCTTGACCACCATAAAGTAGACATTTTGTGTATAACGGAAACGTGGCTAAATTCGTGTATCCCAGACGAGATCATTAAGATACCGGGTTACGACCTGTTCCGTCGTGACCGGTCCCAGTGCAGCACTACATGGAGCGACTTGGGTGGTGGTGGGGTAGCAGTCTTCTCTTCGTCCGCCCTTTGTGCTATGCGCCGCCGGGATCTAGAGTGCAACAATTCAGAGATGATAACTGTCGAAACAGGAGCTACAATCATTTCCTGTATGTACCGTCCTCCAAGACACGATAGTCTTGCATTCTGCAACTCATTCAGTCCTCTTCACCCCCTCGTTGACAACCGTCCAGTAATTGTCGTGGGAGACTTTAACTCCAAGAACAATGAGTGGAACAACGCAGACCCTACGAACACTGCAGGTAGACACATGCAGTCCGCCTTTGACGACTATGGCTTCACTATGGTCTCCAAGAACCATGGAACGAGGCCAACTAAAGAGTCTAATCCGTCCCTAGACCTGATTTTAACTAATATGCCCCATCTTGTCACTTCATGTTACACATCAATGCCCATTGCAGACCACTGTCCTCTATTTTGCGCATATTCTCCACCAGAGAAACGCCACTCTAGAAGTACTGTCAACGCAGCTGCAGTCTCCAGAAAGGTTGACATGCACCTCCTCAGGCAGAAACTGAGCACACTACCATTGACCGAATGCATGCAGGGCACCAACGTGCACATCAGTTTCAGATGCATGGCCTACTCTGCACTGCTGGACCAGGCAATTCAGGCAGCAACGACCATCACACGCCGGAAAAACACCCAGTCGAACCAACCATGGTTCACAAAAAAACTTAAGACGCAACGTCAGCGAACTAACCGCCTCTATGTGCTCCACCGAAAGGAGCCACTCAACGATTCCTTACGAGCTGCATACAAACTCTCGCGCAACCTGTACCACCGGTCATTAAGAGCCGCCAAGGACACATACTTGTCAACGCTCGGATACACAATGCTTGGCAAGGAAAGAAAGGGTGGCTATGCGTGGTGGAAACGTGCCAAAGCAATATGCAATATTGACCAAACAAATAAAAAGGCAATTCCAGACCTGCAGAACGGCAATGAAATTCACAAAACAGATCAAGCGAAGGCCGAAACGCTGTGTACCTTCTTTGCCCGCCAATGCACCACTCAGTCAACGCCGCCAAATACTGTAGCAACTAGTATAACAATCAATGAAGCCGACGTCGATGGAAACAAATTTGGATTCGGAAACATACGCCCTGTTGAAGTCTTCGATGCAGCAAAGAGGCTGCAACAACATAAATCATCATCAGACATCAACCTGACAAACCGTATACTAAAGCAATTCGCAGACATCCTTTCCCAATCACTATCAGTATTGTTCAACTACAGCCTTGATGATGGTGTGTTCCCGTCCTCCTGGAAATCATCCACTGTAATACCGGTGTACAAGAATAGAGGTTGCGCCAAAGAGCCTACCAATTACAGACCTATATCCCTCCTCCCATGCATAGCGAAACTAATGGAAAAGATTCTCTCGGAACGTCTACTTCGATACTTGATGACCCATGGTGTAATTTGTAAAGGTCAATTCGCATATGTACGCAACAAGTCTGTAACGGACCAACTTATCTTGCTAACCCAATCAATGGCTGTCAATATTGATAATGGCACTAATTTTGACCTGATATCTCTAGATTTCAGGAAAGCTTTCGACCGGGTCGACCACTCTATACTTCTAAAGAAATTCGGTAAGATTGCTACAGCTTCGTCAGTAAAATGGCTGAAGAGCTTCTTAGGGGATCGACAAATTGAAGTGAAGGTACATAGCACTAAATCGAAGAAGCGGAGCATCAACTGCGGAGTGCCTCAAGGTTCCCACCTTTCACCACTCCTATTCCTACTCTATATAAATGACCTGCCCAACGCTATGCAACATTGCACGCAATATCTATTTGCAGATGATGTCACCCTCCTACTGGCTTACAAACCTGAAGACACCCTCGCCAGTAGAGCGAACATGCAGTCTGATCTCGATGCATGTCAAACATGGGGCAGGAACAATGGAGGTGAATTCTCAGCAAGCAAGACATCCGTGCTGTGCCATAGAGCTATCAATGATACACCACCTGCAGGAATCCAATACCAAATGTACAATGAGCCATTAACGGTGGTTTCTGAACTGCAACATATTGGCATCACCTTGACCGACAACCTGGATTTCCGCAAACATGTCGCCTCAATAACTTCGAAGTTCAGATATCGAGTGCACCTACTGTCAATTATGTCCCAGCAACTTACGCCTTCGGCAATGATCATACTGTTCAAAGGGTTCGTAAGACCTGTGATCGAATATAGCTGTACGGTGTGGTCGTTTGGATCTAATAAGAAACCCATGACCACTCTTGATCAATTACAGGCAAGGTTTGCTAGAGCTCTACTGAAAAAGAAAAAAATTGCATTTGATTACACTTCTTCCAAATCTGTCTTAAATTCTAAATGCTCCCTGGAGTCACTAGCCTATCGTCGTCAAATCATCAGTCTCACTACTTTTCACAGATATGTTTTCCATCATCGTGATTACCTTGCTGATTTCCATTTCAAGATTACGAATAGTGAGCGACGACCAAATAAAATCATTCTTCCCAAATTTAAATCATTGTCTAAGTCTCTCTTCATGTTCCGAACTGCTATTCTATGGAACTGTTTACCCCCCAGTCTAACATCGGAAGCCTCGCTCTATAAGTTCAAAGCTGCCCTCAGGAAATTTACAGCTGACTATGCTTATGCAATCAACGGAATTCCGCCACCTTGCAGTTGATTTTCCCCATTTCTCTCCTCATCAATCCCTACTTCTCTTTGTACATACTTCTACATCTACTGTTCTTTCAATCAAATGAACCCCTCGATAGGCACATTGCCTTTGGGTCATTTCATAATAATAATGATAATAATAATACCGTGCATGGAGGCTCACCCACGTTCCACCAGAACGTGGGTGAACATAGCCAGCAATCGCATGTCATCACGTACATTCAAAATCAACATAATTTTTCGAATCGACCTTTTTTCAGGATCACTTTTCAACGAGGACGAAGCAAAGTCGGCCGAACGAAGCCTAGAGAAAGAAAATCACCCTCTCCACTTCACCATCACGATACTGACATAGATACGAGATGAAACAACTAAAAAATCCACAAGAAAACTGTACGGCCATCATCGCGCTGACTTTGGTCTGACTTTGGTCTGAGAATTTCTATCACGATCAAAAATGTACGAGGAGCACTCAAAAATAAGCAACAGACGTACCTCTATCGCTCTCTACTCCTTTTTCAAGGCACAAAAATCGACTCTCCACTTTCAAACCAGGAACCAGACATACCAGAGGTCCTTTTCAGCTGCTCCACGAGCGCAGGAAATGCTCACCAAGGGGCGCAGAGCAGCATCGATTCCAGAAAAAGAGCTAAAATACGAGTGAGACTGCATGCCTGAGTACATGAGTACATGTATGAGTACATGCAGAAAATAGTCAATTTCAGCGTTTCTGCTCCAAACAGCAACTAGCTTCGACTAGAAACAAAGATTACACCAAAGGATCAAACAACAACCATTTTCTGCAGTTTTTTTGCAGATGGCTTCCTTGTGCTGGGCCCAGCACGCCAAAAATCACGCCTCGGAGGAGTACAAAAATTACAACTCTCAGATGTCCTCGATTGCTGGCCATAAATCAGAATGGAGCGCATTGTGCAAGCTGTGAGGGTCCTCAGCTGAAGAGGTTTTCGAAGCACGAAATCAAAATATTCAATGAGCTTCGAAGCTTCGTCTTTGACCAAGTTTGGGCCTTTCGCTTCATGCTTTTGTTTGTTCCGTGTGACTAAACGCAACATTGCGAACGTGGATGCATTGCATGAACTTTACGTGTATCACCCACGTTCCTGTATCCGTTACGTGGGACTAAACCTCCCTACTCCCTCGACCCTCCACACCCCCTCCCCTGAATTTATCTGCCAAATCCCTGGCTGGGATGGGTGCATCGGGACCTAGTAATGAGCAAGCTGCGGCTATTTTCCGTGGTTGGATTCACCCTCCCTTTCTTGTATTGGCTATGTATTATTTTGTGCCACGAAGTGGAGACGATAAATAAAAGAAAGTAATACGTCACCAGCTGTTATATATTCTGTTGGACTTTGGAGTGTCTTTTTTGTAATGTGATGACATTTTTGAAACTACATAATGTCCAGCGGGTGTGGTGTGCTGGTAGTCCACGATACTTCTTTTCCCAATTGCCCTGTTTTTTTGTTTTTGTTTTTTTGGAGAGTTGCTTCTGTAGACACACTAAACTTCTTCCTGGATCTGTTGCATCGTGTCCAGCGCGAATTGTGTGTGTGCACAATGTCATGGCATGAGATACGCCCGTTCTCTACGGCGAATTTATATATGTTTGAACAGATAAAGTGCGAGAACTATGGGCTCACAAAGTTTGTTCTCATACCGCGTTCATATGTGTCTTGTTGTGTTTTTGTCCGTGCATCGTTTCAAGGCAAGGGATATCTCCTGCTGATTGCCCAGGTGATTGCCCAGGCAATTGGCTACAGGGAAACTTCCTGCCAAGTAGCTCAGCTTAGACGATACTTAGAAAAGAGAGAACACATGGCTGGTGGCTGGAGCAAGCAACTTCAGGGAACTAACAAATTCTGGCTGCGTATCAAGTGAGCCCGCCTGTTTTGTGTGTCTGTTGACAGTGTGTGTTTCCTCTAGCAGTTCGACTGCTTCGTCATGGAACGGCGCACAGAACTGCAGTCACTGAGTGCCAAATTCATTATGAATACCTTCATTATACCAGAGGGAGATGCACAAATGCCTGTGCAGTCTCTCCACAATGCTTTCTGCTGCTATTCCATCTGTCCACTGCCACTGATCACCCGCTGGGTATCTGTGTGTGTGTGTGTGTGTGTGTATGTGTGTATGTGTGTGTGTGTATGTGTGTGTGTGTGTGTATGTTTGTGTGTGTGTGTGTGTGTGTGTGTGCGCGTGTGTGTGCTGTGCTGTTTGTTATTGCTGTGTTCCAAGTTCTGATTGTTCTCTTGGCTTGGGTTGACTGTGGGCTCTGTGTAACGCTTCCATTTATCTCCGCAAGCGTTTCTCGTGTGTGTGCGCTGTAAAATTTGTGTGAATTGTGCTTAGCATAGATTGTGCTTATCCAAGTTTCAGGAACGAACATAATGGTGTATTGCTCCTCACTGGGTGCAGGGCTTGCTGGTATTGCCGTGTGGACCACTTCACGGTGTGAAGTACCTTGGAATGATGCGGCACATATTTCTCATTTTGACGAGAAGCAAGCTGGGATAGTTGTGTGCAGCATAGGCGACGGAAAGGGAGCGGGAGGGGGTCTTTCAACACCTTGTCTGATCGGTCACTATAATACACTAGATTCTCCAGTAGGCAGTACGGCAAGAAATTCCAATGTGTAGTTTTCGTGCTAATGTAGTTTATGCCCCTTTGCCAGTCTGTGCGTGTTTTTTTAAACTTTCGTGTGTGAGTGGGTGGACGCATGTGTGCGATCGGGCACATGAGAGTGGGTACGTATGGATGTGCGCAGGTGTGTACGCACGTTTGCATGCGAAGGGGAGAGACTTGATGCGGGTATCATCAGGACCGGCGGAAGCAGTATTTGCTTGGTCTAGCCACAGCAGAGGCGTTCATAGGTCTGACCAACCCCGGACTGGTTCTACCGCCCCTCAGCATGACTGACTGTATTGGTTACGAAAATTGCTACACGGTGTGTAAACAGTTTTTTTAAAAGCGGTAACCAGCTTTATCCTACCGCACTGGTACACATACCGGGGAAATTCAGAATGGTGAATACAAATTCTGCGTAAATTGACTACACCGCCATCACCGTCGCCGCCACGGGCGCCACCACCACCACTACCGCTGTGCTATGCGGCCAGCCACACACACTTCCCACAGCAGCAAGAGGTTCCTTCCAAGTACTTGTACTGAAATATAAATCCTTCCGACAGCTGTTCCGGTCGTTGTAATCCGTAAAACTGGTAGTAAACACAAGTATAGTAATCATCAGACTTGGAGAAAAAAATGTTAGCACTGTGACGCAATCCACACAGCCAAGCAAACCCATTTTGTAACCGAATGTTATGTTCTCTTCTCATCATGGGTAAGTACAGGGAAGAATGGAGAATTATCGAAGACACCAACTTACTCATAGAGCTAAATATCATTCTAACCAAAGTGAAATGGTGCTCGAAACATGATACATGTGCTTGTATCCGAATCAATCAAAAATGGCTTTGTATGCACGAACTTTCTTGTGCAGAAAGTAAACGGGAAGATCAGAAGGCAGATGGTAGCTGAATTTAAAGCTACTGAGCTCACAGACGGCCAATACGCACAAAAAAAGAAAAAGGGAAAAGGGTAAATGATATCAATTTTTTGGCCAGTTGATATCAAAGGTGCACAAACTTCCAATTATTCAGTTGCAAACTGGAAAAAAAACATGCTTTATGTAAGCTAGATCAAAATTCATTTTTAGAAAGCAAACTACACATAACACCTCTCTAACCGCCAAATATGAAGGAAAACACTGGGAAAGTGAGGGGTGCTTCGAAGGATTCATACTCTATTGTAGCAGATGCATCACATATCTCACTAATGAATCGCTAGGACATCTCCGGCAATGAACCCGGAAGGGGGATAGCGCAAAGTGTAGTTGGCAGAGCCTGAAAAAAGACATTTATATGACTCCTCATCTACAACAGTGACTTTGCAGTGGCAATCAGTTCAGCGACTGCGGGCGACGACTGTGATAGCTGATCTGCCATCCATTTCTTCGCCTTCTTCTCCATGAGCGAAAATGCAGCTGCCTTGCTACTGCACTTCACGTGTAGATAGGCCAGTGCAACAGCAGTGGCCCATACGCTAGAGGTGAGTTCAGCTGATGATGATGACGAAGACAGTGTACTGGGTTGTGCAGCCATGACATCACTCTTCGACAGTCCAACTGTGGCCAACAGCTTATCGTCAAGTAGCCAGTAGCCACTAACGTCTTGGAGTGATGCAATCGTTTGCAGTGGATCTGCCGATTGGTGATCAGCTGACAGAGTGGGCTTCACCATAGTAGGAGCTGCAGAGCAACTCCTCCCAGTATCCATCTGCTTATTCATCTTCTTTCTCATAGCAAGCCTTGGCGCACTCCTTGGATATGCCGATTGGTGATCAGCTGACAGAGTGTGCTTCTCCATACCAGGAGGTGCAGAGCAACTCCTCTCGACATCCATCCGCTTCTTCGTCTTCTTTAAAGCACTCCTTGGCGCAATCCTTGGATATGCCGATTGGTGATCAGCTGACAGAGTGTGCTTCTCCATACCAGGAGGTGCAGAGCAACTCCTCTCGACATCCATCCGCTTCTTCGGCTTCTTCAAAGCACTCCTTGGCGCAGAGTCTGAGCTAGCCATCGGTTGCGCTTGAACATGTTTGGAGATCGACGAGAATGCCGGCATGCCACATAGGAATTGTCTCGAAGGTGCAGCATGACATGACAACCTGTCCCAGCATTCCGCTTGCTCCTGAACAGGCTTGGCCCTGATGGGGGAGAGTGGTGAAGCACTCCTTGGCGCATAGTCGTAGCTAGCCATCGGTTGCGCTTGATCCTGTTCGGCCGCACTGCTTCTGTTCATTGCATCTAACGCTTTAGGCGAACTTGGAATACATAATACTGCCCGGGACTTTGGTGCCGAGTCTGCCCGCATACCACCTCGTGATCGCCCCGAAGGTGCAGCATGACGTGCAGCATGAAGTGACCTCCTGGCCGAGTATTGCGCTTGCTCCTGAACAGGCATGGCCTTGATGGGGGAGAGTGGCACCCTGACAGTAGTCATCACACCTTCCTTCATCTCCTCACGTTCCTCAATAGCAAGAAATGATGTTTGCGATGACACAACCTCGTACCTTAAAGCCAGGGCTAAGATGGATTCTTTGTTGCTCTGCCCGTCTAATCCGTTCGACTTGTTGTCCATGGCGTCACATCCACGGTGAACGTGACCGCTTTCTTGCTCATCTTGCCTTTCAATGTGACTTGACCTTGGTGTTGACTGTCCTTGGAAAGAAGTGCAAACACAATGTATGGTGTGTTGTTGAAGATTGGTGCAAGATCCTTCTTGGCTGGAGACTGCTCTTTCACCTGAAGTATTCCCCAGTCTATGTCCAGCTCTTCCAGTGTTGGCTCCATGGACTTTGACAGCTGACTGATCACTTTCTCATCGATGGGCTCTCCGTTGCGAATGAAGCAGGCTTCTCCTCGACCAGCACGAGCCACACCACGAACAAGGTCAGTAGCAGCTCCATCGCCGACACCAAATGTGAATACCCGTGTACTCTGAGCATGGTCCTTGACAGTACGAATAATCTCGGCAGTGTTGACCACAGAACCATCCGTTAGTAAGAACAGCTTGCGATGTCGATGTTCATCTTTACCTGCAACCCAGGCCCTCATTTTGGACAATAACCCATGACTGGGCTTGGAGCTTGTTCTTGTCAGGATGTCCCTTAATGGAGTGAGAATTTCCGTACCTCCCATGTTGCTGTCCAGTTTTGAGACGTAGGTGGCTGCGTCTGCTAGACTCTTGGAGTCGTACACGCGACTTTCTTCAAACAGTTTCTCATAGCGACTCCCGAAGCCAACGATATTGAATGCACAGCCTTCGGGCAAACTTCTCAGGAAAAGCTGAAGAGCATCTCGACATTGCCTGATAGGAGTTGACACTCCTCCTCCACACCCCATCGATCCACTGCGATCCACCAAGAATACAAACTCCAGGTCCTCAGCTTGCTCGCTCATGGAATCCTCAAACTCTGGCATGAATGTCAGCATTAGCGCGGCGCTGCCTTGGTCAACATCAGCCTGACTGGACAAGACTACAGCAGGCTTGTGCAAGTCAGAATGCTCCACTCGGATAATCACGTCACCATCCATGGCCACTTTCTCCACTCCCAACTTGGCAGTGCAGTGATGCAGATCCTCAGCATCATTCCTAACATTCAGTGGATGTGTGGACGAGGACACACTCACTATCTTACTTGGCATGTGCATGTCTACATGCAAACTCAAACCATAGTCTACATCACTACGCCGGTATGTTGGCTGACATTCCGTTTGCAAAGTCTCCCAAGCTGATGCTGGCATGTACCGTTCTTTGATAGTTGTGGCAATACGGAGCACAACTGCATTCTCCTCGATACTGCACAAGCTGCTATACACGATGCAGATCTCAGCTTCGTTGCCAGCCTCCAGGTTTCCCAACTGGACCTTCAACGCACCAGATCCAGCAGCTTCTAAGAGAGCAGCTCCATGGCCCTCCGCCAACGCCGCATCATAAGCTTGGCGTGCCTCTTTGCGCTCCTCAATCACTCCACGAACGGTACGCTGGCCAAGATGTGCGGTAAATCCGTTGACAGCAGCCTCATCGTCCACGGGGAAAACATAGATCGCTTGGATGGGATTGGCAGATGTATTCTTATATCGCTGTTTGATAGTAACTTCGACTAGATTGTTGAGCAGCAAACACTCGCATTGCACACCGATCAGAGGGATATCAGCAGGGATCTTGTCCGGAACAAGAGCATTCAGGAGACCCCAGCACGTCGGAGGATGCATATCGCTTCAGAAATGTTGGGCCAGTCGCAATCACGATAGCTACTTTCTTCGCTGGTGTTGTGAGTATAATCTACCAGCTTTGCGTAACCGAGTCACAGTCTTAGACCAAATGATCACATCGTAGACTCACGGCTTCTGAGCAACGCGAGCCCGCCGTCATCTACTACTAGTACTAGTACTACTAGTAGCAAGAGTACAATAACCAGTGTTATGTACTCTTGCTAGTAGTAGTAGACTACTACTAAAAGTATGTTGTTCCTGTTCACCGTCCTTCCCGTAGTGCCCCTCGTGTGATTCGGACGACCGTAGCTAGGTCCAGAACTTGCTAGCTGCTGTATGGACCACTTCACTGCCAAGTACCTTGGAATGATGCACTTATTTCTCATTTTGACGGGAAGCAAGCTGGGATAGTGGTGTGCAGCATACTTAGGCGACGGAAAAGGAGCGGGAGGGGGTACTTTCAACACCTTGTCAGATCGGTCACCATAAATTATGCCGGGCATAAAGGCATAATACAGCCACCACCACCACCACCACCACCACCACCACCACCACCACCACCACCACCACCACCACCACCACCACCACCACCACCACCACCACCACCACCACCACCACCACCACCACCACCACCACCACCACCACCACCACCACCACCACCACCACCACCACCACCACCACCACCACCACCACCACCACCACCACCACCACCACCACCACCACCACCACCACCACCACCACCACCACCACCACCACCACCACCACCACCACCACCACCACCACCACCACCACCACCACCACCACCACCACCACCACCACCACCACCACCACCACCACCACCACCACCACCACCACCACCACCACCACCACCACCACCACCACCACCACCACCACCACCACCACCACCACCACCACCACCACCACCACCACCACCACCACCACCACCACCACCACCACCACCACCACCACCACCACCACCACCACCACCACCACCACCACCACCACCACCACCACCACCACCACCACCACCACCACCACCACCACCACCACCACCACCACCACCACCACCACCACCACCACCACCACCACCACCACCACCACCACCACCACCACCACCACCACCACCACCACCACCACCACCACCACCACCACCACCACCACCACCACCACCACCACCACCACCACCACCACCACCACCACCACCACCACCACCACCACCACCACCACCACCACCACCACCACCACCACCACCACCACCACCACCACCACCACCACCACCACCACCACCACCACCACCACCACCACCACCACCACCACCACCACCACCACCACCACCACCACCACCACCACCACCACCACCACCACCACCACCACCACCACCACCACCACCACCACCACCACCACCACCACCACCACCACCACCACCACCACCACCACCACCACCACCACCACCACCACCACCACCACCACCACCACCACCACCACCACCACCACCACCACCACCACCACCACCACCACCACCACCACCACCACCACCACCACCACCACCACCACCACCACCACCACCACCACCACCACCACCACCACCACCACCACCACCACCACCACCACCACCACCACCACCACCACCACCACCACCACCACCACCACCACCACCACCACCACCACCACCACCACCACCACCACCACCACCACCACCACCACCACCACCACCACCACCACCACCACCACCACCACCACCACCACCACCACCACCACCACCACCACCACCACCACCACCACCACCACCACCACCACCACCACCACCACCACCACCACCACCACCACCACCACCACCACCACCACCACCACCACCACCACCACCACCACCACCACCACCACCACCACCACCACCACCACCACCACCACCACCACCACCACCACCACCACCACCACCACCACCACCACCACCACCACCACCACCACCACCACCACCACCACCACCACCACCACCACCACCACCACCACCACCACCACCACCACCACCACCACCACCACCACCACCACCACCACCACCACCACCACCACCACCACCACCACCACCACCACCACCACCACCACCACCACCACCACCACCACCACCACCACCACCACCACCACCACCACCACCACCACCACCACCACCACCACCACCACCACCACCACCACCACCACCACCACCACCACCACCACCACCACCACCACCACCACCACCACCACCACCACCACCACCACCACCACCACCACCACCACCACCACCACCACCACCACCACCACCACCACCACCACCACCACCACCACCACCACCACCACCACCACCACCACCACCACCACCACCACCACCACCACCACCACCACCACCACCACCACCACCACCACCACCACCACCACCACCACCACCACCACCACCACCACCACCACCACCACCACCACCACCACCACCACCACCACCACCACCACCACCACCACCACCACCACCACCACCACCACCACCACCACCACCACCACCACCACCACCACCACCACCACCACCACCACCACCACCACCACCACCACCACCACCACCACCACCACCACCACCACCACCACCACCACCACCACCACCACCACCACCACCACCACCACCACCACCACCACCACCACCACCACCACCACCACCACCACCACCACCACCACCACCACCACCACCACCACCACCACCACCACCACCACCACCACCACCACCACCACCACCACCACCACCACCACCACCACCACCACCACCACCACCACCACCACCACCACCACCACCACCACCACCACCACCACCACCACCACCACCACCACCACCACCACCACCACCACCACCACCACCACCACCACCACCACCACCACCACCACCACCACCACCACCACCACCACCACCACCACCACCACCACCACCACCACCACCACCACCACCACCACCACCACCACCACCACCACCACCACCACCACCACCACCACCACCACCACCACCACCACCACCACCACCACCACCACCACCACCACCACCACCACCACCACCACCACCACCACCACCACCACCACCACCACCACCACCACCACCACCACCACCACCACCACCACCACCACCACCACCACCACCACCACCACCACCACCACCACCACCACCACCACCACCACCACCACCACCACCACCACCACCACCACCACCACCACCACCACCACCACCACCACCACCACCACCACCACCACCACCACCACCACCACCACCACCACCACCACCACCACCACCACCACCACCACCACCACCACCACCACCACCACCACCACCACCACCACCACCACCCAGAGAGAAGAAGAAATCAAAATCTGATGTGAGCAACTACAGACCTATCTCACTCCTCCCCATCTTGTCCAAGGTGATGGAGGCTATCGTCAACCGTACGTGCCCTCAGGAAATTCCTTGAGTCAAACAATATCCTCTCCCAGAGCCAGTATGGGTTCCGCAGCAGACTTGGCACCCAGGATATCCTCACCCTATTGAATTCGCAGTGGGGCAGGGTGGCCGCAAGCGGTGGGGCAGTAAGGCCGAGGTCACACATGAAAAGCTTGCACCGCTTTTGCGGAGGCGGAAAGCGGAACTACCGCAGCCGCTTTGGCGAACCACACGATGCAGCGGTCACACATACATGTAGACTACTGTGCTCCTCAACGCTCCGCTTTGGCGGAGAGAATGCAAATGCAGCACGTCCTATGAAATTTTAGATGTTCTTGTCCGAGTTGAAGCGACCTTCGCTTGTACAAGTAGAGCTATCGTTGATCGCTGACAGGCTAGGCTGCTGAATGTCTCCTGTCAAGTACACTCGTGGATTTGGGGCGCATTCACTGCGGCCCGGTACAGGTGTATTTGAATATTACTAGTTTGGTTTACATCAATATCAAATTCAAATAGTTGTATAGCAGGGTGTCGTTGCCTCCTTCTCGTCCGAGTTGAAGCGACCTTCGCTTGTACAAGTGGAGCTATCGTGGATCGCTGACAGGCTGCTGAATGTCTCCTGTCAAGTACACTCGTGGATTTGGGGCACATTCACTGCGGCCCAGCACGGGTGTATTTGAATATTAGTTTAGTTTACATCAATATCAAATTCAAATTGTTTTATAGCAGGGTGTCGTTGCCTCCTCCATGATCCATCATCGACCCAGCGACTGCGTGGATGCCTGCAGTTGCAGTGAGGGTGTGGCAGAGTACTCTACTACTCCCTGGTTGCAGTCCTAGTGTTGCATACTCTGGTGGACGTATTGCTTGGAGAGAGAAAGAGAGAAGGAGAGAGTTCGAGATCGTCCGCGATCGGGGCCAATGAGTTAGAGAGAAAGAGAGAGTTCGAGATCGTCCGCGATCGGGGCCAATGAGTTGGGAGACGGATTCCCTCACCAATTATCCACTCATAACGATGCAGTATTGTTTGCGAGATCTCCAGAACGTACAGTTCATTGGCAAAGAAGAACAATATGAAAACTGAATACCAAACGGCAACCAAACAACACCAGAACTCAGTGCAGAAGTAGCACGCCAAACTCCAAAGCCATTACCATGCAGGTTCCGCCAAAGCGGATCCGCGAAAGCGGAGGGTCCGCTCGCATTTTTTTGGCGTAGCGAAATCCAAACTTTCCGCCAAAGCGTAACTTACGCCTCCGCCGTTGCTGAGGCAACGGCGGAAGCGTAAGTTACGCTTTGGCGGAACCGCCAAAAAAAGTGCATGTGTGACCGGGGCCTAAGGGTGATCGCAGTGGATGTGGCTGGTGCGTTTGACCGTGTCTCACACACCGGAGTGCTCCACAAGGCAGAGTGCTATGGCGTAGCTGGTCACCTGCTTGGCTGGCTCCGCGACTACCTTAGCAACCGGAACCTAACCGCAGCTGTTGGTGGGGAGCTATCTCAGCCCTACCCGGTGAGAGCTGGCGTCCCCCAGGGCAGCATCCTGGGACCGACACTGTTCATCCTGTACACAAATGACGCCAAGGACCATCTCCCTCCTGGAATGGACCTCGCAGCATATGCCGATGACACTACGCTCTTCAACTTCATCACCTCAAGAGTGTCCATACCTGGCAGCTCTGCTATCATGCAACAGGGTGTGGATGCACTGTCTCGCTGGGGCGTGGAGTGGAAAATCAAGTTTGAGCCCTCCAAGACCCAAGCCATGACAATCGCACATCATCGCCAGCCTTGGCAGCTCCCGGGAACCACTTTCGACGCTACGCCAGTCAGCGAAGCAGGCCTGCAGGCCGCCTGAAGCTCCTGGGGGTCACATTTGACTCCCAGCTGACATATGCGCAGCACATCCGCACGATCCGCTCCAGAGCACAGCAACGCCTAGGCTTCCTGCGGAAGGCCTCTGCTATCCTAGAGCCCCCTGGCCGACTCCGAGCCTACAATGGGTTTGTCCGCCCTGTGCTGGAGTTCTGTCCCCTGGTCTGGCTTGGTGCGCCACCCTCACACTTGGCCAAGCTAGACCAGATCCAGCGACGAGCCATCCACATCATCGGATCGGGCTCCTGGCTCCCTCGTCTATCTCTGCGGCGGACAGTGGCCTCGCTTGCATACTTGTACAAGCTATTCTGCCTGGATGCGGACAGCCCGCTAATAAGGGCCTTATCACACTGCGTTCAAAAGTCGCGTTTGCGTCTGCGTTTTCTTCGGTTTTTGACGGTCGCCTAGGAAATGCCATCACGTGACGTTATCGCGAGCGCGTTGGTTTCCAGACGCACAGCCGCAGACGCAGACGCAAACCAGGGGGGGAGGGGGGTAGTCAAAACCGAATCGCGTAAACGCAGATCGGACTTCCTTTATCGCAGCACTTCCTGCATTGTTTTTGAGTGTTTTCAAGTGATTCTCAAGTGTGCTTTTCAAATCTTCATTTCCATCTAGTTGCTGAGGCCGGCGAGGGTAGTTCTACTACATGACATTGTACTGATTGATTGATTTTGGATTCGCGAAGCATGGAGCTGATGCGAGCTCGTGGCTGAGGTTGCGCTGACTAGTTGGCGACGGCTAGCCTAGCTGGACGATGTACCTCAACAACGGAACTGCCACCCCAACACAGGCAACGCAACGGCTGCAGTCTTCTCATCGACTCCCATTCCCCCAGCACCACTGACAAAGGACATAGGAGCAGAAACAGAACACTTCTCGATCTCAGGAAAATAATTAATTCAACATCCACGGCCACCTGGAGATCGATTCCCCACATTTTTGTATTTTCCCGCGAGCACAGATTTTGACGCAAACGCTGATCACAAGTATAGTATATTATCACGTCTTGCGTTTTCCAGTCTCAAACGCAAACGCAGACGCAAACACGACTCAAACAAACGCAGTGTGATAACGGCCTAAAGAAGATCCTCCCGGCCCTGGTGCCCAACGTCGACCTCAGCCTCTCAGGACATGCAGCCCACACGCGTGTCTGCTCAGCCTACGCACCCACACCAGCTATCGACTAACCTGCCAGCACGCACCCGAAACAGCTGTCTTCTCGCATTTCCTGCCAGCGCTGTGCAGACATGGAACGCTCTGCCCCAAAGCATACTGCTGAGACCCCCACACCTGGAGGGCCTGCAAGCCTTTAAGTGCCGTGTCCACCGTCACCTCCAGCTGCACCACTGGAGCTGGGCGACTGAGAGCCTCTAGCAGACCTCTCACACCCACCTCAGCCGTAGTGCACACACCGCGTCTGAGACAGTGTCTTTTTTCGCTAGCTTATACTGTCCCTCGCTCTATGTTGCGGCACAGTAGCTCCCTTGTTCATGTAATAGCTGGCCCACTGTAACAATTATGACTTTGCCGATATAAAATAGCTGAGGCTGCAGTCACCTCACCAATCATCTCATAATTTCAATGTTCCTTTTATTTTACTTTAACAATTTCGCAACCTCTCTCTCTCTCTCTCTCTCTCTCTCTCTCTCTCTCGCTCTCCCTCCCCTACCCACTCTTGGTACGTCTAGGTGGCTATGAAGTCGAGACCCTAGGTCGGCGGAGCTCCCTAAACCTCACCACCACTGCCACGATTCAGGTTGTGCGTGCTTCCTCTAGCTGCATCTCATGTTTGGCATTTAAGTGGTCTTTGTAAAAAAATAAAAATAAAAATAAACCCACCACAACCAACACCACCACAACCACCAACACCACCACAACCACCAACACCACCACAACCACCACCACCACCACAACCACCAACACCACCACAACCACCACCACCACCACCACAACCACCACCATCACCACAACCACCACCAGGTCCACCACCATCACCACCACCAACACCACCACAACCACCACCACAACCACCATCACCACCACCACAACCACCAGGTCCACCACCATCACCACCACCAACACCACCACAACCACCAACACCACCACAACCACCACCACAACCACCACCACCACCACAACCACCACCACCACCACCACCACCAGGTCCACCACCATCACCACCACCAACACCACCACAACCACCACCACCACCACCATCACCACCACCACCACCACCACCACCACCGTTGCTCTCTGTGGCCAACCACACATACCTCCCACAACAGCAAGAGGTTACCTTCGAGTACTGAACTATAAATCCTTCCCACAGCTGTTTCGGTCATTGTAATTCGTAAAACCGGTACCGGTAGTAAATATAAGACTTAGTATAACATCCAATTGTACACGTATATTTAATCTAGGAGACCCCTTGATTTGGGCTTTTGCCTTTGGGGAATCCCTCAAATAATGATAATAATAACTTCGTGGGAGTCGCCGTGCATTCCGTGCACCTGGTCTGGCGGCGGATGTGGATGCCGTTTCTGTGGAGGCCCGCATTCCCGCCACTACGTGACGCTAAGTCCTCCTGGGGTTTGCCGCTCTCCGGTCCTCTTTCATCCCGTTCTCCCCTCTTTTTTGGGGATTCTTTGTACTTCGTCTTTCTTGTTTTTCTTGTTCCTTTGTTTTTTGTAGGACAGATTTTTGGTGTACTGATTTCGGTTGTTGTTGTGTCTGACTCTATTCCCAATATCTAATTCTGTGGTTGGTTTTCCAACTCATTGGGTTGTAGTTTCCATCATGAGTTTGATTCCATCGTGAGTTTTGATTCTATTTGCTATTTTTCGTTCCATTTTTGAGCTCATATTTTATTTTCCTGATTTCTTCTCCAGTGTATGTTGTATTGCATTTTAATACATTGTGTTAATTTTTGCCCGTAAAAGAGGCTTGCACATAACTTCGAAAAAAGTGTCAGTACCGCTGCAATCCACACACTCAAGCAAAGCCAATTTTGTAACCAAACGTTTCGTTCCCATCTCATCATGGGTAAGTAAAGGGAATAATGGAAAAATGTCAAATGCGGCAACTTTATAACAGCTAAAAATAGTACAAATCTAACCAAAGTGAAATGGTGCCAGAAACATGATACAAACATGTACATGTACTTGTATCCGAATCTATCACAAACGGCTTTGTATACACTAACTTTCCTGCCTGGAAGTAAACAGGGCACATAAAATAGGCAGATGGCAGCTGAATCTTTAAACCTACTGCATGAGATCACAGAGCAAAATAATCACACAAAAAAAGGGAAAGGGAAAAAGGGTAAAGGGCTCATCTGCCACAAAGCACACAGCAATTGCTGGCCAAAAACAGGGTATTATCACCGGTGCACAAACTTCCAATGAACCAGTTGCAAACTGGAAGAAACCATGCTTGATGTAAGCTAGATCAAAATTCATTTTTAATGAGCCAACTACACATAACACCTCTCTAACCCCCACAAATGAAGTAAAACACTGGGCCTTGAAAGTGAGGGGTGCCTCACACGACTCATACTCTATCGTAGCAGAAGTATGTCATATCTCACTAATGAATCGCTAGGATATCTCCGGCTATGGACCGGGGAGGGGATAGCGCAAAGTGTAGTTGGCAGAGCCTGAAAAAAGCCATTTATATGACTCCTCATCTAGAACAGTGACTTTGCAGTGGCAATCAGTTCAGCGACTGCGGGCGACGACTCTGATATTTGACCTGCCATCCATTTCTTCGCCTTCTTCTCCATGAGCGAAAATGCAGCTGCCTTGCTACTGCACTTCACGTGTAGATATGCCAGTGCAACAGCAGTGGCCCATACGTTAGAGGTGAGTTCAGCTGATGATGATGACGAAGACAGTGTACTGGGTTTTGCAGCCATGACATCACTCTTCGACAGTCCAACCGTGGCCAACAGCTTATCGTCAAGTAGCCAGTAGCCACTAACGTGTTGGAGTGATGCAATCGTTTGCAGTGGATCTGCCGATTGGTGATCAGCTGACAGAGTGGGCTTCTCCATAGCAGGAGCTGCAGAGCAACTCCTCCCAGTATCCATCCGCTTCTTCCTCTTTGTAGCACTCCTTGGCGCACTCATTGCCGCACTCATCCGCACATTCCTCGGCGCAGAGTGGTAGCTAGTGATCGGTTGCGCTTTCTCCTCTTCTGCCGCACTATATGTTTCCACTGCACCTAACGTTATAGACGCAGTTGGAGTACATAATGCCCGCCGCGGGGGCGTTGATACCGAGTGTGCCTGCATGCCACCTCGTGATCGTCCTGAAGGTGCTGCACGATGACGTGCAGCATGAAGTGACCTCCTGGCCGAGTATTGCGCTTGCTCCTGAACAGGCATGGCCTTGATGGGGGAGAGTGGTACCCTGACAGTAGTCATCACACCTTCCTTCATCTCCTCACGTTCCTCAATAGCAAGAAATGATGTTTGCGATGACACAACCTCGTACCTTAAAGCCAGGGCTAAGATAATGTCCTTGTTGCTCTGCCCGTCTTTCTCTTCCAAGTCTCGAATCACGCGCTTTGCTGCAAGGCTGTGAAGTATGCGGCAATCCGTTCGACTTGTTGTCCATGGCGTCACATCCACGGTGAACGTGACCGCTTTCTTGCTCATCTTGCCTTTCAATGTGACTTGACCTTGGTGTTGACTGTCCTTGGAAAGAAGTGCAAACACAATGTATGGTGTGTTGTTGAAGATTGGTGCAAGATCCTTCTTGGCTGGAGACTGCTCTTTCACCTGCAGTATTCCCCAGTCTATGTCCAGCTCTTCCAGTGTTGGCTCCATGGACTTTGACAGCTGACTGATAACTTTCTCATCGATGGGCTCTCCGTTGCGAATGAAGCAGGCTTCTCCTCGACCAGCACGAGCCACACCACGAACAAGGTCAGTAGCAGCTCCATCGCCGACACCAAATGTGAATACCCGTGTACTCTGAGCATGGTCCTTGACAGTATGAATAATCTCGGCAGTGTTACCCACAGAACCATCCGTTAGTAAGAACAGCTTGCGATGTTGATGTTCATCTTTACTTGCACCCCTCATTTTGGACAATAACCCATGACTGGGCGTGGAGCTTGTTCTTGTCAGGATGTCCCTTAATGGAGTGAGAATTTCCGTACCTCCCATGTTGCTGTCCAGTTTTGAGACGTAGGTGGCTGCGTCTGCTAGACTCTTGGAGTCGTACACGAGACTTTCTTCAAACAGTTTCTCATAGCGACTACCAAAGCCAACGATATTGAATGCACAGCCTTCGGGCAAACTTCTCAGGAAAAGCTGAAGAGCATCTCGACATTGCCTGATAGGAGTTGATGCTCCTCCTCCATACCCCATCGATCCACTGCGATCCACCAAGAAAACAAACTCCAGGTCCTCAGCTTGCTCGCTCATGGAATCCTCAAACTCTGGCATGAATGTCAGCATTAGCGCGGCGCTGCCTTGGTCAACATCAGCCTGACTGGACAAAACTACAGCAGGCTTGTGCAAGTCAGAATGCTCCACTCGGATAATCACGTCACCATCCATGGCCACTTTCTCCACTCCCAACTTGGCAGTGCAGTGATGCACATCCTCAGCATCATTCCTAACATTCAGTGGATGTGTGGACGAGGACACACTCACTATCTTACTTGGCATGTGCATGTCTACATGCAAACTCAAACCATAGTCTACACCACTACGCCGGTATGTTGGCTGACATTCCGTTTGCAAAGTCTCCCAAGCTGATGCCGGCATGTACCGTTCTTTGATAGTTGTGGGAATACGGAGCACAACTGCATTCTCCTCGATACTGCACAAGCTGCTATACACGATGCAGATCTCAGCTTCGTTGCCAGCCTCCAGGTTTCCCAACTGGACCTTCAACGCACCAGATCCAGCAGCTTCTAAGAGAGCAGCTCCATGACCCTCCGCCAACGCCGCATCATAAGCTTGGCGTGCCTCTTTGCGCTCCTCAATCACTCCACGAACGGTACGCTGGCCAAGATGTGCAGTAAATCCGTTGACAGCAGCCTCATCGTCCACGGGGAAAACATAGATCGCTTGGATGGGATTGGCAGATGTATTCTTATATCGCTGTTTGATAGTAACTTCGACTAGATTGTTGAGCAGCAAACACTCGCATTGCACACCGATCAGAGGGATATCAGCAGGGATCCTGTCCGGAACAAGGGCATTCAGGAGACCCCAGCATTTCGGAGGACGCATATCGCTTCAGAAATGTTGAGCCAGTCGCAATCACGAAAGCTGCTTTCTTCGCTGGTACATGGTGTTATCAGTTATTCTACTAGTAGCTGCTGTAGAGAGTAGTATTCTACTACTACTAGGTTTGCGTGACCGAGTCTTTTAGACCAGAAAATACTACAAATTTTGTAGACTCACATTCACAACTAACTAACTACTTTAGGGTTCACGGATTGGCATGCTAGCGTCGCCAGCTACATCATGCACGTGACAGGCGCGTGCATATACTGTCCCACACAATCGGTCAGTGCTCAAATCGATTTTTTCCATCAATATCACTCACTTTCAACTCTACGGGATTCATTACGGTTGGCTCAAACTGCCTGAATTTTTGAATCCACACGCACGAAAGACGTTCCAAGACTTCCACCGTTCGTATTTTTTCAAACGAGTTCCGGGTTTTCCAGTAACTTTGGCCAAAGTTCGGCTACAAAAACAGGGGGAGCCGTTGCGTTTCCGTAAAATACTGAACGGTAGAAGGATAGCCAAGGTCGAGAGCAAAACAACAAGCCATTATTTGTCAAAATCGAACAAGAAACGGCTCAGCGCATTTATTTTCCGTGCACGCGCGCGCGTACTTTGGCCGACAAGGTGTGGAGAATTTCTGAAGAAGAAGAATAACAAGAGCAGCAGCGCTCGGAACAGCCGTGCTGGATACTTCCAATCCCGACGATGGAGCGTGTTGGCTGTCGTGAGCTGCTGAAACGACCATGACATTTCTTTTTCTTTGTATACCCTACATATCTTGACGTGCCCTAGCTCAGTTTCGGCCTCTTTACAGGAAGAATATTTTCTTCCATGGCATCAGCGGCCAAACAGCAAGAAGAGCAACAAATCGAGATTTGCAGGGCAAACAAAGGATGCGTGCAGCTACATCTAGTCAGGTTCGATGCAGCTGCGCTTTGCCAGAACCTCAGCAGATAAGAAAAGACGACAGAGTGTCTCAGATGGAACTAGATCTTTCGCCAAGACCGCCACCGCCGCCATCATCAAGTCCAGGTCAGTCAGAAAAATGCAAAGCCCGAGTGAAGTGCAGTGAAGCCACTGGCACTGAAGCCAAGGAAAAATTCAAAAAGTACGCTCTCCGGCTAGACTTCGAGTCGATATTTTTTTACTTCGATAGGCGCTGTCGCGGCCTGTAGCGCGCGTCCATAAAGGCATAATCCAAAATGGAGGCGCACGTGACGGGTGCTTTTAGTGGCAAGCCGTGAACCCTATACTTACTCAGTACTCGTGGTACTAACAACTTCTGAGCAAAGCGAGCGGCCCGCAGCGGCCCGCCGCGCCGTACACTACACACGTATTGTTGTTCCTGTTCACCGGCGTGGCGCCGGCCTTCCCATACTAGTGCCGCTCGTGTGACTCAGAAAACCCGCTGTGCCGCTCGCGCGCGTGGGCAGCTGCAGGAACAAAACTCGTCCATCTGCGCTGCAGCTGCCGCGCGCTACATCTACTGTTCATCTACCTCCGGAGCTCCGGACTCCCGCCACGCTGGCGGTTTCCATGGTTTCAGAGGCGCTAGGCAAGCTAGCTGTTTAGTAAAAAAATTATAATATTTTTTTTTTTAGGGCTTTGTTATGTCATCGTACTAGTACGTATTTTGTGCCGGAAAAAAATGTACATCTACAATGACGTAATTTTTTTAATTAACAGTGTAACATAATTTTCACTACCTAGCTAGTAGCTACACAGCACTGATAGTCTACAGTCCATTCAGAAAAAAATGAACTTCTAGCTTTTGGCCATAAATGGGTCAAACGTTGAGTTTTTTTAGAATTTTTTTCTGCAATCCCATATGGAATCCTCTTCCAATTATGTTTCTGAAGTATTTTTGTCCAAAAAGCAAGCCATAGCAAGAATAGGATTTCGGCCAGGTTTTGCCCCAAAAGCACTGAATTGGGAAAACCATCAAAAATCCAGGCCGTTTGACCCCGCCTGCAACAGTGCATTTTGCGGTTCGAACCCCAGTTCAGGCACCCTTTTTGGACCCTTATTCAAATTTCAAAGTTCGCAGCACTGCACTGTGTACGATGAAATCACGAAAAATCGCCAAATACGGGAGCTCGCCAGAGCCAGGACCCATCTTTTTATGAATGGACTGTAGGCTACATGCAGTGCTTGTGAAAGTGGATTTCTTTCGCTATGCTGCTTGAGAGTTGAGTATCTCATTGATGAAAGTATTAGTAACTATACATGTATTTAAGTTACTAGTAGTTAGTTCATGGAACTGCTGATGTAAACATACAGTCATGTATATGTAGGTATGTGTATGTGTATGTGTATGCAATCGATGGAAATTTTCGCATTGAGTCCTCCGATCCTTCGTGTCACCTCGCTAGCATCATGCGTCAAGCATCATGATCAAGGACAAGGATCTACAGTAGGTACAGTGGGTACAGTGGGTACAGTGGGTACAGTGGGTACAGTGGGTACAGTGGGTACAGTGGGTACAGTGGGTACAGTTTTTTTTTTTTTTACGGGGTAACGGCCTCTTTTACGGGCAAAATAAAGTCATGTAGACGTGAAAAAAATTGACATACCATGAAAGTTAAAATAGAATTTTATTCAAGTACAATACATTGGGAAACTCCAAGAAATTCCACGTAAAACAGACGGAATTCAGTTTTCAATGGCCGATGCCTACCCCAGCGGGTACAGTGGGTACAGTGGGTACAGTGGGTACAGTGGGTGGCTGGTTGTACAATGACTTTACAGTGTTTATGTACATTTAGAAAAGCGATCCTGTCAGCTTTTCTATTATTAGGGAGTTCAGTCACGTGACAAATCAGCTGAAAACAGCCTTCACTCGGGTCACGTACATTAGCATGGTAGCGGTGGCACCATGGACTTCGCTGCAGTTATTTTCGAACTGCTTTGTCCTGCTTTCTTTTTCAAAGTTGAAAGTAATAGTTGGTGCGTTTGATAGCTGAGGTCTTCCTGCTCGTTTTGGTGCCGCACTTGCTTGGGCAACTGTAGTTTGAGCTTTTTGTTGTGAGGAGTGTAGTTTTCAATTGGATTTTTCATCCGTTTGGAGGGAGTACACGGCCAGGAAACACCCACCATCGTGTTCAGCGACCTCGAATTATGTAGAGTAGTGCTTTCTTCTCGAGCTGGGGGATCGCTCTTCATCGCGCTTTCAAGACTTTCACCTCCTGGTCGCCCAAAATGAATGAATTTCTTGACCCAATACATGTATGTTCAAGCGCTAGGAGTGTTTCAGATGATTTGTTGGTCCAAGTGAAAGATTGCACCTGACGGAGACTTTCGCTATTGCGACAAAGTGAGCTATGATTTTGTATTCGACTCGTCGCCTTGAAGTTGAAACCAGAAAGAATTTGCTATGGAGTGGTGCTCTGACATGGATCGCGTCAGTGATTGGATTGTATGCGTATTTCACTATTGTGCATTTTACATGTAAAATGTACATGTACATGTACATGATTGATCAACTGTGTGACTGCCGCAGTAAAGTTGGGCATCTGAAGTCAAGACCAAACTGCTGTATTTATTAGTTTGCACATGTATATACAACCATAGCCATCAGTGCTCACTTCAATTTCATAGTAATGGAACTCGTGTTCAATGGATTTAGCATTGTTGCTATGGTGGTTGCCACGGGCGCCGCGCTCGTTCTCATTGGTCATCGCTTGCCGAAATATTGTATTTTGGTCAACATTAGGACTAACCAACCTGTATTGCACCTATATTGCACCTACAAGCCAGATTTCATAGCATTCTGACAATATTGTAATGTTGCTAAGCGTTTGCTAGGCTTTCCGGAAAACCCTGTTGGTGCCACAGCAGTATGGCATTCCGCAAACATCATGATGAAGGTTGGCGTAAGACTTTGACGCCTCATATCTCTGGTATCCTTCAAGATTTTTCATCCAAATTTTCTGTGCTATATCCTGTACTGTAGTTCTTCCCGAAAACAAACAGTTTTCTTGGTTTACTACGAAAGAAAAAAATACGGTGATATCCCTACTATTATTGTGTTCACATGGCAGAAAAAAGCGACACCGCTATGCTACGTAAGTTTCTACGTAAGGTGCTCGGTACTTCACTTAGGCTACGTAAGTAATTTCTACGTAAGATGCTTTTTTTTTTCACTGAGCCTCTTGTACGGGCAAAATAACACATTTTGTGAAGAATCAACACATAAAACGAATCATCAGATACAGTATTTACAGAGTCTGTCACTCAGTAGGATCACTGCACTGTGCAGGTTCACTGGATGCGTGCCTCCGCCGCCACTAGCACAGCAGGGGACTCAGGCACGGCAGGAGCAAACATGCTCCTTGACGGCTTGAGCCACGCAGGCACATAGCACCACAACGCACCAGGGCAAACCCAAGGCGGCAGCGCAGCAAGGAGATAATCTGCCCGTATGGCTCCTTACTCTTCTCAGCCAGGAGAGAGGCGATCCGCGTGAAAAGAGCATTGGCATGCTTGCCATAGCCACCAGAGGCAGAGAGCACAACGGGCACGAAGTAGGCCTTTCCGGATTATGTGTTTGCATATTTTTGCATTTTGGGGGTCAAAATGCATTTTGTCCATTTTGACCCACTTTGCGCCAGGGAGTCGTAAAATACCGGTATTTTACGACTCCCTGCAAGCGATAGGTACTTCACGATCACCATGAATGATCACCATGGTGCCAAATGTCACGCGACTAGCTGTCGCCATTTTGTTACCATGGCAACGGTGGCATTTTTTGTGCTTTTTGGGTAAATTTTTGCATTTTCTTTAGAAAAAAATTTGATTTATAGGGGTTTTTCAAAACACTTTCCATTTCCATTTGAGACCAAGAAAAAACGCATAATCCGGAAAAGCCTAGCACGAAGGACGTAAGATGCTAGCATGCTCGGTATTAGAGCTACTAACGTTAACGCGTGGTAGCCGCGTGCTGTGCACGTGCACGGCAGACATTGTGTTGCATGCAGTGCATGCACTCCGTTTTCGGATGTGCATGTGCGAGGAACTATTACTTCCTTCTTTGGAACTGCTTCTTGCATGAGCTGTTTCGGATACATGTATTTCGT